GAGAGAAATCGCCAGGTAAATATACATACACACATATATATATATATATAAATAGACCACGAGGGAGGAGAAAAAATAAATCGAATCGAATCGAACAGCAGACTGCCGGGGGATGGTTTGGTTACGATCCTGTGCGCCGGATTTTCCAGCCATTTAACAAAATCGGGGTTTTCTTTGCGATGGTAATTTCAACGTCGACGGCCCGATAATTTTCAATCGATCTGGTTTTTTTCCCCCTATCGATTTCCAATTTTCGCGTGATTATTTCGAATTACGGCGGAATTTTTTGTCGGTAAATTTAAAACAAAAAAAAAAAAAAAAATACCCGCGTTTCGTACTAAATATCATTACGTTTAAAATACTCGCTTACGTACTTGTCGTTACGACACCGATCGGCCATGACCGTAACACGAAACATTATCGTTCGGCATAAATATTATCAAAACGGATTTTTAAATTTTGTTTTTTCGCGTCTGTCGTGCGGAATACAACAATATATAATATCGACGTTTGAATATTTAATTTCGGACGCAGCCTGACGGGATAGCCGCGAAAACGTTTTTTTTTTCTCTTATTTAAATTTTTGCGTCTGTTGCGTGGTGTATGTATAAATATAATTTCATTCATAGTATAAATTCCATTGAATATTCGCCGTCTATCAATTTCGACGAACCCGTGTGCGTGCACAAACTTTAGACGTGAATTTCTCGATTTATTTTCCAATAGGTGTACAATTTCTTATTACAAATTTACGCTTAGTTTTTTTTTTTTTTTAAATAAGTACCACTTATGTTTTCAATGTTTTTGGTCCGATAGATTCTAATATCTGAATGACCTAAATACTTAAGGGTACTATAGCACTTCTTCAATATTTTCTGGTAAAATACCATAAATGTTTAAATATTCACTCTGTTAACGTGTCTTATAAGGAGTATACTTGTTGGTTTAAAAGCATAATCTGTTTTATAAATTAAGCACAATATTACCATAATTCGACATTTTTTTTTTTCAGGTGACTTTTAACAAGAGAAAATTTGGTGTGATGAAAAAAGCATACGAACTAAGTGTGTTGTGCGATTGTGAAATCGCTTTAATCATATTCAGTAGCTCTAATAAATTGTATCAATATGCTAGCACTGATATGGATAAAGTGTTACTCAAATATACAGAATACAACGAACCACACGAATCGCTTACTAACAAGAATATTATTGAAGTAAATAATTTTAATTCTAATGGATTCGTCAAATTATAATATGTTTTATTTAATCATGTTATTTTCTTGTTGTAGCAATTGAACAAGAAAGAACTCAAGGGCGGCGCTTTGAGTCCCGAGAGTCCAGACGAAAGTTGTGATGGTACACAAGGACCCTACCAGCTTACTCCCAGAACTGAAGCAAAATACAGTAAAATCGATGAAGAGTTCCAGCTATTAATGCAACATCAAAGAATGGCTAGAGTAATTATTATTGTTTATTTTTTTCCAAATTAAATAACTTGTGACAAAACAATTATTAATTTATTTTATTTGTTTAGAATAATGTCACTAATTATTCGCTTCCTACCACTATGCCCGTAAACAATATGTATAATGATTCAGGAAATTTACAATTGCAACATAGTAATGCTAGCCCAAGACCTCCGTCTTCATCTGATGCCGATTCTGGTTTGTTATTTCATACACCTTTGACGGATTTCGATTATAACACCATGTATAATTGTATATTTATTGTTATTATTTTTCTATGTAGTTTATCCTCCTGGTAGTATGTTGGAAATGAGTAATGGATACCAAGCGTCTTCATCGCCTGCACTAGTTAACTCACCTCCTTCACCAGGACAACTAGTCATGTCGCCATCGCCTACACCCAAAGCTCTTAACTCATCAAATAGAGCTACTCCGCCGCCACCTAGACATCATTCGCCCAGGCCTAATTTGCGTATAGTCATGCCTAACGCTTCTAGTCATCACGAAGATAATAATGTAACTATATTTATAATATTAAAAAAAAAAAAATTTCAAAAACATAATATGTATTTATAGCATAATATTTTGTATACCTGTTGTAGGGTAGCTCTATTAACACACCAACTGTCTCTCTAAACACACCAGTAGTAGCACTTCATACACCCGGACTGGGTGGCCCAGGTTCTTATCATGGGATTTTTACTGATCTTACGTCAACTGATATGGGACTTTCATCGGCATTGAATTGGCCTAACCAAATGGCGCACAACAACAGGTACGTTTTTCATTGTCATATTTTGATTGGTATAAATATAAGTATATGGCATAAATTATATTCTTTTTTTGTTACGTTATAGTGGAATGTCTCACTTAGGAGTACCAAATTCACCACCACCTTCTTCACCGTCTCCAAATTCCGTCCGCATTAAAAGTGAGCCTAACTCACCACCACATTTACATCACCATACGTCTTCATCAACCTCAGGAACAGCACCTAACACTGTTGTTTCCCATTCAATCAGTAATTTGTCTTTACCGCATGCTCATACTTCTATACCATCGCATCACTTAGCAGGTAAATTATTTTTGGTAAACGGAAATCTTAATAGAATGTAAATTTATAATTGTATCTTCTTTTTGTTATAAAACCAGACCGTTTTCTACTAGGTGGACAGTTGCCCAACAATCAGAGTTTAATAGATTCAAGACACGACTTCGAAGGTGGACCACCACCAAAAAGGTTGCGTGATACCTGGCCCACATGACTAAATTGTTGAATTCATACAAAATCGCACTGCTATCTTTAATCCCCTCCCTAACTCCCAAAAAAAAAAAACCAGCATGAACTATATTATTTATTTAATTTTTAAACTTTTGGACCACATGACTTCTGCTCAGCACACTGGACAACCTATAACTTACATTAAGTATCTATTGATTGTTTAAAAAAAAAAAAAAAAAACATCTTCTATTATCTTTTTCTCCAGGCTTCTTCTTCCTTTTTTTTTTTTCTTTAATTTAATTATGTAATCTTTGTTCTTAACGTTTGTAAATAAATATGAATTTATTTATTATCTTTATTTTATCAATGACTTTTGCCATGTGCTGTTCCATATACATTATATAAAAAGTTAATGTCTAGTCCACATACAATAGAATATAGGCTATGATTACTAGTCAATAAAATTGTAAGACAAAAATTGATTATATTGGCCAATTTCAATTATATACTAAGTTTATTATTATTATATTATATTGTTGTTAAAATACACTAACACTATTTTAAATTAGATGTTTTTTGTTTTGTTAAATAACATTTTAAGATTAAATTTAAATTTGAATTACACAAATCGTATGTATATTGTTGTTGTGTGATCATAATATTTTTAGTAGATACATAAATCAAAAACTATATAAATATATATATATATATATATATATATTATTATATTATATTATAATAATCAAGAGTATTTTTAAGTATGTACATTTGAGATATTTATTTGAAAATATTAGGTTTTCATTTTATATAAGATTTTGATACCTAATAATTGTGTATGATAATAATATTATGTTATATAGTTCTATTTTTAAGTGCAATTTCATGGCCATTATTTTCAATCAAAATTATTTACAAAGTGTATACCATTTTAAAAGTTAGATTGATATTTTTGTAAAAAAATGTGAAAAGTAATAAGAAATGATTAAAATATTGTATGTTAAATGTGTAAGCGGTGCTATGTGTAAACTTTTTGGTGCCATTTAAATATTATTAGTCAGCACTGTGTTTTTACCTGATCTTAGTTTAATTGTTTTGTTACAAATGACAGTAGATAATGTTAATGCAACACGTTATTAGTAGGCTCAATTTTCTATAATATTATTATTATGTATTATATGTAACAATGATGACCAGGGCAGACATATTTTCGTTGAAATTGTATTTTGAGAGCTTACATATTTTATATTTATTTTTTTGACCATTGTAACATAATACAGGGTTCATTAACGAAATGTTTACAAAATAAAAAGGGTTTAACTGAATATTATTTTATTCATTTCCCAACACGCATTATTATTATTATTTTCTCGTTAATTTAAACACGTGTTGTATATTAATTATATATGTACTGATTGTATATTTAAACATATTAGTGCATGTTTGTTAAGGTATATACAAATATATATATTAAATATTCTTTTTTATTTAACTATTAATTACTTTTTTTTTTTTGTTATATATACTTTTTTCCTTTTTTTTTTTTTTATTACAAATCAAACAGCACAATGATATATTTTTATTGTATAGTTCAACCAACATATTTCATGTAATCCCCGAGCATTATAGTATCATTTGTTTTTTTTTTTTTAACATTAACATATAGTACTTTATAAAGATGACAAGGCCGTAAGTGCAATAAAATAATTTATACTGTACAAATTTTTAAGTTAAAATGAAAAACATTTACAAGCAGTTTTTATTATTTTATTTTAGTTTTTTTTTTTTTGTTTTCTTTTGTTTATCATTTGTATATTGATTGCCAAAAATATAGGTTATATTATATAATATGTCTCCATGAATTTTATTTGTTTTTATTTTTCCATGTCTGTTTATTGTCGTGCAGCCCACTAGTGTTGACCTCGTATAATTTTGTGGTAAATATTACTTTTTTAATCTCGTTAAGTAAAAAGCCCGCAAGTACATGTACAATGACAGCACTATTATACACCACACCCATAAAATCGAAAACTCAACCCTCTCCACTTCCCTTTTGCTTAAAAGTGTGTGGTCATTTCGCAAATTCCCCCTTTCACCCGTTCCATTCCTTAGTCCTTGGGAAAAACCCGCCTCTTTTGCGTGACTCGAGTAGGTTAGTAAAAAAGATTTAACTAGCTGTGTGCAGTGACAACCTGTACACCGAAGTCGCGTGATCTTAGTATCAATTCGCGTAGAACCGAAAAATACTCGTTCTGTTGAAGTTTCTGTAGCTGTCCAAAAAAATTGAAGAAAACCTCAATCGATTTCGGCCTTATGGGTAACAAGGTGGTCACTTTCACCGAATCACAGCTCGAAGATTATCAGGTGATGTTAATTAGGAATTATATAGTATTTTTATATTTTTATTATGAAAATGCTTACATACATTGTGTTTGTGTGAAAAAAAATTTAAAATTTAGTTTTTTAGATTTTGATATTATTTTATATTTTTATACGAAATCTAAATTAAAACACTGTGCAGTTGATAGAATAAACGTGGTAGAATTAATTTTATGCAGCACTCCATTCGTATGTTTTTATTCGTAATTTAAATTTTAAAAATTTCTATATTAATAATTTACGTTTTTTATGACTACTCTAACAACAATAATTTGTACCACACTTTCGCGATTTTTCAATTTTGAAACAATTTTAGTAAACCAAAACCACCACGTAGAATTAGCACAACTTGACTGACAAGGCCCCAGGACTCGCACTTTTTACAAAGATTAGAGTTCTCACGTTTCAAAAAAAAATAAATACTAATTTTATATCTTATGTACGTGTATATTATAAAAATAGCCAGATCCGTCAATTTATAACGATCTTTTTCATAGAACATAAATTGTGGCGTTTAGGTTGAAATAAAAGTTTAAATGCAAATAATAAAGTTTAAGAGGAGCATATTTTCGAGGACTATACGTAGATTGTACCAGTGGTGATTCGAAAGAGATATATTTAAATTACGTGATTCACAAAATACCGGATTGATGCCGGGTGGTTCGTGAGTGCCTGGATGTTCAAAAATATAACACAAATTAGTAAGTATATTTTTACAAAACAAGTTATTAAAATTATTTTAGACTGCGGAAATTTGATACATTTGACGAATTTGTGGTAGGGTGGAGATATTTTTGAGTTAGGAAAATTAAATCGGTGATTCAAGGTAATAATACTTCGAGCCGCCACTAGATTGTACCTAAACAAATCACCCAAAATATTTACAGCTACCTATAGTTTAGCTTTTTAAATAGTTTTAATTCTTTTAATTTTGTTATTTGTGATGGTACTCCAATTTCAATTTAAACGCCACATTTTTTGTTCTAAGTAACATACCTAATTTCGATATGTTGTACTTAATACGTTTAGTAAAACGGTGTAAACAAAACGAATCTGAATATAGCATCCTCTTAACCGAAAAGTAGAAATACCCACGTACGACGTCCCGCTTATTTATAATTAATTTTTGTAATAATTAAGAATGCAACGTAACTTTGTATCATAGTGCACTCAGTTCCAAATAATTATTGTAAATACCCATTAAGAATGTATTGATCGTTGCTGTTAATTTATATCAAACGAGTACAATTGACGTACAATAAATTATTGTTACGCATACATATTATATCATTTACACATCAGTCTATTTATAAATCAGTATAATTTTTGTACGTAATAGTGATTGGTTTAGGTGCGTCATTTTACATGTTTTTACGTAATGCGGAATCAATATTGAAAATTTAAACCAATACCAGAGCCATAGGATGATGAACACGAAATTAATACATCTCCATATCATAAAACTGTACAATAAAATCCAAAAACGTACTTTAATTAATTTCATATTTACTTATTTATATTAAAATAATAATAATAATAATAAAATCAACAATTATTATAAATATATGCTCAAGTATGTATATATTATATGTTACATAAATGTAACAAAACAATTTCTAAAATATCTCTGTTCCGTATACTATAGGTTTATGATCAATATTTCCAATACTGTAATAATACATAAAAAAAAAAAAAAAAAAACGATTATATTAAATTCATATAGTTCATATAATTAATAACTGCGTAAAATAGAATAGTATTTTTGCATACCCTTGTATCCCTTAAATGACGCCACCGATTGGTTTAAACGGCGCTACAAATTACGGGGCCCCGTGCAAAATAGTTTAAATAAAATAATACACAATGATTACTATTTAATATATATATTATTTATTATTGACTATATATTTTAAAAGGAATTTTTTCTTGCTTTTTTGCTTGCAAAATCATTTATGAGCGTATCATGGTTTATAGTTTCAGCTATATCTTTTTCAATGGATATTATTGAAAGTCCAGTTAGTCTTGTTTGTGACATAGTGCTCCTTAGATAGTTTGTAATTAATTTTAATTTTGAAAATGATCTTTTAGCAGAAGCCGATGTAATAGGTGTTAGTATTATTCGTAGAGCAATAGGTAGTCATGTTTCGAAACAAGCCATTTAATTTTTTTAGTATACAAAGGGATTGAAGTGCAGTTGTGTTTATTTCTACGAGATTTAAATGTTTAAAATTTATGATATAACTCATAAACATGAATATCATCGATGAGATGTATATGAAGATCTTTGCAATTTTTCATTAATTCGTCGTCTTCCATTTCTTTAAGCTTTCCATTGCGATGTAGAAATCTTTCATTGTAAATCTTAAATTAATTAAAACAAAAGTTCAGAGAACTTTTTTTTGCTATTGATCTATAATAATAATAAAAAATATAGTACGCAAACTGGTTTCACCATCAACAGCAGAAATGTCTTCGCTTTCATCGTTAAACACACGTGCCCTTTTTCGTAATCGACTTAATTTAAATATTTGTGGAACTTCTGCAGATTTTACGGAAATATTAGCTTCTAGTTTAGCTTTTTCAAAACCATTTTCCCGGTATTTTTCAAAAAATCCATAAGCCCTCTTAATACATTTTCTGAAAAAGACATATGCGTTTCTATACCTTGTAAACTCTTACTTACAATATTAATCCTAAGTAAGATATCGTACCTAATTACTGTACTTAGAATAAATTCATAACAACCTATAGATTTTAATAATGACTGAGACAGTGGCGGATTTAGTTGTGTTTTTTTAATGAGGCAACTTATGTTTCACTTCCCCTACCTTCATAACAAAAATTAAACTTCACACTAATGGAATTTAAAAACAAAAATAATTATAATTATAATAATAATATATTTATTTCGTATAATATAACCAACGGCAAACAGTATTCCAAACAAACTTAATTTTACCCAATAACAAACACGGTCAACAAATCAATTTTTATACATAATAACTTCCATATAACCAATAGTGGTGTTGATATGAATTTGAATTAAATGACTTATAGAATAGTTTACTTAGTTTTTTGTCAGTAGACAAAACTGATAAAATCGAAATAGTCCTGCCTACTTTTAGTAAATCATTTTTACTACCAGAATTCCAACGTCGAAATAGCGTTTCCAACAACATGACAACCTCGTCTGTCACTGGCTTTATAATATAAGTGTTGAATAAAAAGCACGGCGACACGCGTAAACAAATTGAACCGAAGCAATACGAGCGACGATTCGAACAAGACAGAAAAATATGTACTAATAGATATTGATATCGGTTTCATTAGGCGCTGTGACAATGATAACTGATTTATGATTATGTGTTTTGTTTTTGAATGTGTCGCAGTCATGGGTGCGGGCTTACCATAATACCGCATCTATTTTTAGTACACAGAGGCGATGAAAAACGAGCCGCACGATGATCATTGCGCATACGCAAATCTGCTTATTTAACTGTCCCGTGCATTCGCGTACATACGCGTGTGTGTGTAATTAATGTATACAAGTAAAATTCAGAGGCGACGTTAAACGGTCGCCTCTCTGACGTCATCGGAACTTTTCCACCGGCTGAAATGAGCTTTTGTTTACGTAATAACTTACGTTTCTTATCGGTTTATCGCTATTTTTGGTAATAAACACGGAATGGTCTTAAACAATAATAAAATAAATGATCATTCATATTATTAAACAGAATAAAGGAGAATTTTTTTTTTTTCAAATAAAATTATAAATACGTTAAAAATTATTAGCGAAATGTGTGCTATCGACGAGCCAAGATTTATACTTTTAGAGTATTATTTTACTAAACAATTTTAGTTGAGTCGACGCCTCGCTTGCCTCACCCTCAAAGCCTCCACCGGACTGAGACTCACTCTTAAATATTCCGTCAGTAGTAATGTTAAATAACTCTTTTAATGCATCGGTAAGTTGTTTAAATTGGAATCGAATGGCCTTTACGCTTTCTAATCTACTTTCCTATCTTGTTTATGTCCATTTTTTAACTGTTGGTAGGTTACAGTGTTTAAGTATACTCCAGCGTTGAGTTGAGAATGAAAATATTGAATAAATCCTTTCGATTGTTCCAAAAATTAATAAAGCTATGGTTGAACTATTTGCTGCATCTTTAATTAATAAATTAAGGTTATATGCTGCACAAGGCGTAAAAAGAGCTCTTGGATTTTGATTTAGTATACGATTCTAAATTCTATTTTATTGATCAATCACATTTCCACCATTGTCGTAAGCTTGTCCTCTTCAATTTTTTAAATCAATGTCATAATGTTTTAATTATTCAATTAAAATAATGGCTAAACTAAAACTTGTTATCGTCTTAATGTTAATAAAATCCATAAGAAATTCATTTATTTGGAGATCATACATTTCATTTTCAAATTCCATATTAACTATACGAATAACTATTGACAGCTGTTCTTGCCTATTTATATCTGGCATAATAACCATGATTATGGTATAATATTTACCCGACTTTATAAGATGAATTATTTTAATTTTTAATGCTACAGCAATAAATTTAATTAAATTTCCCTGCATATCATGACTAAGATAATGCGCATATGTGTCGTGATTATTAATTTTATTTAAATGCTCTCACATAACTGGGACAAATTTTCCAATCATTTCGATAAGGCCCAAGAACTTTCCATTATTTTTTATAAATATTACATCTGATGTACTTCGAAAAGACTCGTTGTATTTAGCTAAGTAGTGAATAGCTGCTATAATCCTTTTTAAAACATTTCTCCTATGTATTTTTTCTTTTTCAATATTTTCTAAATTAGTTTTATCAACGGTGAATATTTGTTGAATTTTTTGAACAAAAACAATGATCAACGATCTTTATATATCGAATATACCAACCAGTTTCTATCAACTATTTCACCATTGGGTAACTTTTTATAGAAAAAATAAGTTGCAAATCGCCAGTTAACGTCTCTTTCCCTCGAAGTGAAATAGTTACATGAAAAGGAAAATTAAAATTAAATATTCTCTTAGAACCTAATTTTACTATATTTGTCCTTAAATCTTGGCTAATAAAAAATGGTTTACTCGCAGAGCCTTCGTACATATTCAAATCATTCAAAACAATGTTCGTAAATATTATTTTGATTCATTTGAAATTAATTTACAGGATAATATTTCTTGAAAATCAACGGAACTTGATTCTTTAAAATCATTTATGATAGTTTGTGGTAACTCAGAATCTTTATCTAATGTTTTTGGAGACTTGAAACAAATGGATAATAATTCAGATGATTTTCTCTTTCTAATTCTACATTTTCAGCTTCAGAGTAAACTTGAATAATAGTTGAGTTTTTAGTAGCTAATATTACATTATTCTGACTATATTTCATTTTCTTTACTTAAAAATTTAAGAAATGATCCTTGCTGTGTTTTTAAAAAACCTTGTTTTATTTATTTATTTTACCTTTATTTACACCCCGATTCATATGATCTGATTCTATCGCGATCTCGATTACACATTTTAACGAATTATACCTAATCATAAATTATATAATATATGTTTTTTATTATAGTCAATATAAGTAAAAATCAGAATTTAAAATAATAATTATTCAACTAGATAATTAGATTTATAAATCCTCATAAGTGTCATAAACACATAAATACACTCCAGATTACATTAAAAAAAAAAAATTTAAAAAAATGTTTACATTTTTAGATAATTTAAAAGGGAATACATTTATTTATTGTAGTATAAACTAAACAAATTAAATTATAATATTAATAACAAAAAAGTTGACTTATTGCGTCTGCCGGTTGTAATAATATAATATTCGCGTGTTTCTAATCTCGTGTATGCGATTGACGGATAAATCATAAATGAAAGACCATTATCAGTAGGCACAAGTAAGTAATAAAATACCAAAATAATATTATCAATATGGCAACATTCGACATAGTCTATTTATCTACTCTTCAGTTAATTACTCTATAACCGATATCACGAAAAAATCCATAATTATTTACTGTTAACAATATTATCAACCATAATATATGTATTATATTATAAATAAATAAATCATAAATATTATATTTCAGTAATTTATTATGTCAATAACCAGTATTAATATAAAAATAGTACATTAGTACTGTTCTCAAGGATATTACAAAACTATTATTTCAATTTATAGTTCGAAAAAAAAAAGACGTCCTATGATAATGGGGTAAGGTGCGGCCCCTGTTCTAGGTAATTTAATGTATATCTGTAAGCAACGATAAACCATTGCCAACAAAAAAACGATTCTGAACGCAGATCAGTTGATAGTGATTCTTCGTCAACAATATATTTGTCATATTATAGTAAAATAATTAAATAGGCATTAAATATTTTCTTAAATAGTATTTGTTTAATATTGTACCGATTTTCCCGGTTTTCCCAAGTTTGTTTGTGGTTTTTCCGATTTGATAGGAAAACTCCTGGGAAAATCGAAAAATGACCTCCTCAAGTTATCATGGAGATAAAATTTCTTTTCAGTAAATAAGCTACACTTAATACATCAGAGCAAGATTTTTGGTAGAAAAGTTTGCACAACAAATCGAGGGGTATTTTGCGATTAAAATAGTCTGATCGAGCGATGGCTTTGGTCTCTAAGTACTCCCAAAATGCATTAATTTTTTTCTTGTTTAGGTTAAAGGGAAAAAAATTCAAACAATTTATTTCGAAACACGGGTTCGAGCTCGCAGACCCTAAGATAAAAATAGGTGTGTATAACCCCATTCAGCTACGATAAACATTCTTTAAGGAGACAATATTTAGTTATTTAACATAACATATAATATCAGAACTTCAAAAAGCTATAATTTCGAAACTTAGTCAGCCCGCTGAGTTATGACTTAATCATTCATATTTAATTCATATTCATATATATCATTCATAAATCGGCAATACACATATGTTCAACAAAAACAAATTGAAAAATTAGATATGTTGCACATAATTTTTTACTAAACGATTTTCGTCAAAATTTGATATTAAAATTTATTTTTAAAAAAAAATATTACATTAAACTCAAATTTTCTTTTTTTGACCACAAAGTAAGACTCTAATTGAACCTCCTATTAAATGTTCAATTATTTTGTTTTAAATAAAAGTTATATTTATATCTAGAGTGCCCTAGAATTAAATAAAGTATTTCTGTTAAGTCTAACAATTTTACCAAACAGTACCTACTCAATAAAAATTAAGAACATAACAAGCAAAATTAAAATATTTATAAATAGTTCAAAAATGGCTTAAATTTTTTTTTAATTTAATTTTTCTTTCGCGGGGCTCTGTGCACTTGGCACCGGTTGCACTGCCCTTGCGTTGGCCCTGATCGTTAACAATGCAGACATAAAACTTTGGTTAAAACGTTTGGTTCCGTTACAATTTGTACGCAAAAAAAGTTTTTGCCATAAATAAATTTGCAGCCGTTTAAATTCCGTAATACTAGTTTTCAACATTTCAATGGCCTTTATAGTTCATAACCCGCTACGACGTAATACAACGTTAGTTGATACTCAATATAATATCGTCTATAAAATTGTTCTAAAACGTTTTAAATTGAACAATCAGTTATTTGAGGACTACGATGGTTCAACAAAAACGCATTACTGATTTAGCTATAAATTCTGTTAAATGTGATTTATGTGAAAGTTTAGATGTTATAATTTACACTTTTAAACGAAGTTGAACGTAACGTGAAATAATATTGTCTAATATTTTTTTATTTTCATTTACACATAAATATTTGCGGTTTCGACGTAACCTATTTTGGCTGTGAAAAGTTAAACCCGATTAAGAATTTTGTTATTTTTTACTATAATAACCAATACGAATACGTTTTTTCAAATTAATAAAACTGTCCGGTGTACGTGTATACCTACTCGAAAGTTTATTAATTTTGAATCGATTAATACGTACGGTAAGAAAATAAGTGGGTATATTTAATGCGCTTTTAAATAGAAATTATTAATGTTACGTCTCGCAATTATTTTCGCCCCGAGTATCTGCAAATTTGGAAGAAAAAACGTCGGAATGATATTATTCTTAGTCGGAGTTACGGGTGTATGCCGGGTGCGCTTTAGGCCTTTAGCACACACTGAAAATAACAGGCCACTGTCCGAATTCAGTTCAGTTCGAGGAAAATATACTTTTCATTTTAATATTGAATGTATTTATATTAATGCCAAGCCGAATTAAAAAGATAATACAAATTACTTACAGTCATTACAATATTATTATACGAGTATTGAAGACATTTCGTGAACAAATGTTTTATTATATTATTGACTTTCAGGAGCAGACGATAAAACTAAAGTTTACCTCCGCTTATTATAATATAATATTATATCATTACGAATATTTAATTTTGATAAAACGTAAACGTAATATTCAGTAAACACGCGGACATACGCGATAATATTATTATCCTTAATTGTACACATCGTTTTCATTGAATAATGTATCGGTATCAATGGCGTAGTTTCAATTTTGTTATGGGACGTTTAGAAAAATGAAAAAAGTTATTTTCCTAATAATCAAACATACCTATGTATATGTACCTAATAATATAATAATACAAAAAACAAATACAAATCTTTACTGTATCCCGTGGCAGTTATTATTATTAAACATTTGTAACGAAAATTCCAGCGTCTTTTTTTTTATTATTTGATGATTCAACCATTAACACCGTCGGGGATAACTGAATAATTTTTGTTCATTGACAGCATATAGTGCAGGCCGCGGTAACCCCGCAATCATTTTGTTCATCGTTGATAAAAATTATATACTGTGTACAGCGTACACCCGATCATTAATAATTGTTATAAATATGTAGTTGTTATTTTGACGTCTCGTTCAACAGTTTACAGTAAAATGGCTAGGTACATAAATCGATTGTAAATTATTCGTATTTTTACGATCAGAACAGGTAATATTGAACGTAATAGTCTATAAAACTGTACAAAACACTAAACTGCACTTGACAATTGAAATAATAATAACTATTTATTATTGCTTGTTTTATAGATTCTAAGCGGAGCGAGGAATGTATTAGTTTTGTAATGACGTTTGTTATTATTATTATTATTATTTTTTTTCTATGAACAACTTTTCTATCAGAAATTTTGCTCCGATTTTCAAACGGAAATTTGATCGGGGCGGTTTTTTAAGGAAGTAATTTTTTCTCCTGCGGGGATTTTCATAATAAATGAGAAATACAGAGAAAAAACGTAGGGAAATTTACGAAACGTATTATTTTCAATATTACGATTCCCTTTCGAATCACGCGTATAACCGAACTCCGCTCGGAATCGTTTTTCGCTAGCAACGATCAATTCTCGCGTACGGATATACGTTAAATATGATTTTCCCGCGACCTACAACATATTGTAGTGTCCCGCCCATCGTGCAAAGTATATCCGTTTGTCGTTTTTTTTTTTTTTTTCGGCTCTGTAAGAGTGGCGGGTTGAATCCGAAAACTTACCCCGTAAGTGCGCCGCTGATCGATAAACGAATGATTCCGAAATCGACAATTATTGTACGCCTGTACTGCAATGACGTTCGTCGGGTAAAGAAATTTCGGTACCTATCCGATGTAATAATACGTACAGTCCATAAATAATTACAATATTAATTATTCGTGTGACTCGCGTGTATAAATAAAACGATACGCGAGAGCCCGGGCCGTTTGTTTGCATGTTCCGCGGGGTCCTTTGACGACGGTGATAAACAGCGTCGATTGATACGCGCCGGCGTATCAGAATATAATTTATACGGTGCTCACCTGCGCGAGATCGGACCGGCGCGAGTTGTTAATGAATTATTATTGTAGGTTTTTTTTTTTTTTTATTTTATTTTTTTTTTTTTATATTCCGTATATATTTTTATACACGTTTATTATAATGCCTACGCGTTTCTACTTTCTACGGTGTTATTTTTAGACGTTCGGTTTACTTAAACACGGCCGTTCCGGGAACCACGAAAATTATATATATATATATTTATATACAGGTATATGATATTATATTAATTTATTGTAATGTGGAATGCGACAAAAAAAAAACATTCGTATTATTATTGTATATTATGTATATTAAATGGGTTTTTTTTTTTTTAGAAAAAGAGTCGTTGACCCACCCCCTTCGGGTTCCTGGTCGTAGTTGTAAGACTACTAGAGTGTACTACTACTACTACTATATTACTACTACGGTTCTTTCCAGAGAGATTATAATAAATTTATCACGTGCGGCGTTATGCGTGCGTGTGCGTAGCGGTTTCCCCCACCCTCTCCTAACCCCCCCCCCCACACCGGGTTAACGTTCGTCGAGGGGCATCGAACGAGAGCGTTATTTTTTTCTCCGAGAGAAATGATTAAATTATAATTTCGATGAAATCTTCTCATTCGTCGACCCGCCAAGCAAAGGGGGAAATTCCATCGATTTTGGTGCCTACGTGACCTACCCACCTACCTACCTACCTGCCTACCTATCTGCCTATCTACACTCAACGTGTAATGTCCGCGGCTTTACCCGATTTTCGGCATACGAGTTATTTTTATTTTTTTTTCTCCCACTCCCCCTCAACGACAAAAATGTTGGCCCGTTTATTTTTTATAATAAAAAATAATACGCGTAATAATATTCTTAAGGATAATAGATACTATGCTCGCGTGTACGATATTTCAATATTACGCGCTATACAGCCGTCCCGTACGGCCTCGACCGCGTATAGGCGTGTACAGTATTGAACGGAGTTATACCTAACTGTTTCAGCGGTACAGTAATGACCATCTATTATAACGAGACCATAATTTTTTCCCCTTAGACCGGCACGCTTGTACCAGTCGATCCGTTTAAATTTGTTTCATCCAATGCTCCGTGTATTTATGGAATTTTTAATGTAGGTTGTCATTTGAAAATCAAAAGTGGATACAGCTAGCGAGAGGTTTCCCCCCCGAAAAGCAGAGTGACAAAAAATAACATAAATATATAATTGTAGAGCGGCTTGTTTCTCAAAAATGTTCTAGATAACAAATTCTGGAAAAAGTTAATACTTTCCGGAATAATAAGTGTACCCACTTAAATAGATCACCTGGTACAGTCCGAAAAGAAAAACACGGCAATTTGTATTCTTGTGCGCATAGAACGACAGTGAAAATATTCTAAAATACGGTAATACGGCATATAGAACGTAATAAAACAAATTATTCGAAAATAAATGAAAAAATGGATTTAATCTAATAAACATCGTAATATTAAGTTTATTTATTAAAAATTAGAAAATGAAACTAATTGCTCATGTAGTCTAACAGGCGGCTGATTTCTATATTTTTCGGACGAGGGCGTGATATTGTATTGTAATAATATGTATTGGGTAAATCATAAAACATTACAATGACCAACATTCTTATAATTTTAAAATTAAATTGTGCACATTTTTTGATATTACACTTTTGGTCAAAATATTTATATTACCCAAAGGTAATTAATTAATCTTCGGAATTGCAATAAATTATCCGCATTAGACAAATCACTAAAATAGCTCTATTGTACAGTTTGTAAAATGTTAATTATGTTTCGACGGTCATATTTCGTTGTGCTCCGATCAATAAATATACGAACCCATTTTCGAATCCGTTTCCACGGTCACTTGTTTTTCAAAGCGGGATATTTGTTCGTTCTTTGGGAACAGCGGGACACATAGCTCAAAAGCGGGATGTATGGTCACGTTACCTATATACCTATCTCGTATCTGTCCCAGAGGTCTGCGATTATCGGTATAATAATATTATCTAAAATCTAATATATTTATCTTTGATCTCTTTGGAGAAAAAAATAGACTTCTCCGCCCGCGGCAACCAAGCGTAATATTTATAACTGTTTTTTTTTTTTTTTTTTCGGTATTTACTAGTTGCGGTCACCCGACAAAAACGTTACGTCATACTAATCGCGGCCCACTCAATTATTGGTCTACACACACTAAATGCGGGATGATATTACATTTTTATTATTATTATTATTGTATTATATTACGTTTCTATCGTTTTATTTACGACAATTTATAAATCAACATTTCCCCACGCATTAATATCGCAACGATAGTACAAACCACAGACTGTCTACTCTTTTATCTATTGTGAATGGGTATGGTTAAAAAAATTGATTTTTTTTTAATATTTCAAATGTAAGATGCATGAATGTATTTAAAATATATAATAAGTAATGATTACAATTCTACGGATATAAATTCGAAAGAAATCGACTTCACATACCCAAGTCGATTGATTACACATTACGGTATAGATAAGTAGTGATGTTTTCACGTTTATGAACTGTGTAGTGTGTGTATTATATTTTAACAAGTTGACTGCCGCAGTATTTTAAAAGCTCGATACAATGCCAAAACTGGTACTCAGTGACGTGAATTACAAAAAAAACGTCTCGAAATGGTCCCTCAATGCCTGTGAGTCTCAAAACTTTGTGTGTAGCAGTATTAGTACTCAATAAGGCATGCAAAATGTATTTCGCACGATGCGTGGGCCACTGTTGTAGGTGAGAAGTTGGGAAGGTAAGATATAGAGGGAAATTAGTTTTATATCTGTACGCAACGATAAACCATTGCTAACGAAAAACGATTCGGAGCGAAGTTTTTTTTATACATCATCTACTTAAATTGTCCCGTTTTTTCCCAATTATTATGGAAACCGCTTGGAAAATCAAAAAAATATCTCTCTATCACTCCAGTAAAATTTGCTTTCAGAAAAGGAGGTACACTTGAAAATCGGAGCAAACTTTCTGTTACTTAGAAAATTTGTTCATAGAAAAAAAAAAATAAACATCGTAGCTAAACCAATAATACATTCCTTGCTGTGCTCCTAATTTAAAATAAGTACATATTACTAGGGTCAATGGCATACGTAATGAGAGAGGTTAGGAGTCATATACTTATATCCCCCATTGGTTTAAAAATACAAAAATATAAGTCATTATTAATATCGAAATGCATATATTTCAGCCAAATTAGGAAGAAAAGCTTGATGTATTGATTAGAAATTGGTTTGTTTTAGGATCCAGCTATTAAGTAACCAATGCTCATAGTCGAGTTGGGTAGAGAAAACGATTTTAAAATTCTTATTTGCTACATCCCCTGCCATTAAAAATTCTTAGGCACGTCCCTGACTAGAGTATAAACCACGTCAACTTGTTAAAATATGTTTATCGGATATATTAACGCGTGATCACAACTCGAATATGCATTATGAATATAGGATGACTACCGCAACTGTCACATTATTATCTGCTTAGGTATCTCAAAAATCGCCAACCACCGCAGACGTTTTTTTCGTCCGTATAACCAAGGTATACCGTAAACAAACCAAAATAAAATTTCACTTTTCGAATATTATAAATGTCGTCCGTTCTTATATAGGGGTAGAAATGTCGTTATCCGGGATACAAGTATTGCGTAAATTATTTTGTCCGGGATTATGCTCTCCGTTGTACCGAAAGTCTCACGGAAAATAGAAAATGTAATGTAAAATGATAACAATAAAATAAAGTCATGTCAACTGAATGTTTAGGCGAATTTGTGAGAAGTGTATTTGATGTTCGCTCGTTGACAACGATTGTAAATATTTCTAATATTATGTAAAAACAAAAATAAATATGCTCTTTAAATGTTAGAATGTCTTAGTATAAATAGTACGGTCGTATTATTATGTCATGTATATTAATGAATTATTATTTCGTCGATTACGAACGAAAAAGTGTACCGTTTCGTATGCCGTGTAGGCTACACGACATTATTGAAGTATTTATTTTGGTAATTTGTAGGGAAAAAAATATACCCTTACCGCGCGGCCCGGAAACCGTACGACGTGTGTTTTATTTATTTATTTTTATTGTTTTTTTTCTTGTTTTCCTTTACAGGACTGCACTTTTTTCACCAGGAAGGAAATACTTAGGTGAGTATAGTAAGTAATGCGGTATAATAGTAGTCGGCCCACATGTGCGTAAACAGTTTTTGTGGATGACGCGCCGCAGTATTTGCATTAGGTATATTACTTTGTATTTGTTTTTTCACTACACCATATGTGCGCGTTCTTAAAAAAAAAAAAAAAAAAACAGAAAAAACCGAAGGGGATTTTCGAGAAATTAAACATTTTCGAAAATTCGAACGTGTGTACGTCTTTCGTTTCCGTATGTTAACGACGTGTAAAACGATACGGCGTATTGTATGTTATGTGCAACGAAATATACATTCCAAACGATAGACCTAGCTCGTATTAATAATATTCGAAAATACAAAAAAAAACCTCTTGTTGTTAGAAAAAAAAAAACAAATTTTACAAATTTTGTATAAACATAGACACTTTACTACTATGAATATTATAGTTAAAACGAAGTGTAAGACACTTGGTACAGGTATTATTAATCCTATATTCTATATCCTGTATGGGAACAAATATTTTCGAACCGTAAAATATTTATTGTAATATAAAAATACGGGACAGTTTTTACGAATTAACAGTGGCACAACTACCGGAGCTGGAATCTGTCACTGGAACCTCCAGTATATTATCCACTTAATCAAGGGGAGTACCTAATTTGCACCAAAATAAGGGTATACAGTTTGCACCACCGTAGATAGTTGAAAACACTGTAATTTGCATCAAAACGAGTATCGATGAATTCGATTGTCAAGTGCATATTCGGTTGACTTACAGTGGTATAAAAGAAAATGTTAACTGACCAATACAAAAATAATCTAAAAATTATTATTTTCTATATGATAAGTTTGTCTTTATAATATTTTGTTTCTAAAGAATGAATTTATTTACACTCGCATTATAGAGATGTTTTTATAAAACATTATTATTACATTTATTTGAATGATATTTTCAAACTTTCATGTATCTCTATATTATTTCATTTTCTCACTTAAAATGATAAAATATATATATTTTAAATTCTGAGCGGAGTGAGGAATATTAGTTTTACATTAATGTATATTTGATTTCCGGGGTTTATAACTACCCTTATTTAATAGTCATTTCAAAGTTTGACGTTGATTTACCGTCGTAATTGCGTAATTTATTATTTTGACCAAATACTAATCTAACCTTTAGTCTTTCCGATTTCATTTGTAGCACAAAAATACTAAATTATTTCTTTGTCTAAAATTATGCAATTTGTATAATAAAATACAATATATCTGTCATATATTATTGTCATAAGGTAGCTTTTAGTCAATGCTCACCGGGTATCGTAAAACAGTGTAAATAGTTAAGTGAAGTAACCACTCGAAATCGAACGGAATATTCTGTTTCTCTGTAGCTTCTCATATCTCAATATATTATACTGTACTATCGAAAATAATACGTAGGTTATTTTGGTACAATCTACAAGCGCAGTTAAAAAATTATGTCGGTACAAATTATCCATGTTGTATATATTTAGGGGCAATTTTGGTGCAAATTGATTACACCCAATCAGGGCCTCGGTTCAACCAACAATAGTCTTTTGCCGTATATCCGATTAATCATCTCGCAATCGATATCAAAATTATAATACTTGTAATGAAAATAAACGTAAGAGGAAATATCGAAAAAGAAGAGGCGGTTGCAGGATGCTGTTGAGAATAATACGAGGCCGGCGGGTGTATTCGAGGACGATGTAGGTGATCGGGTCAAGTGGAAGTTTAGGACGAGGGTGATGGCCGACCCCCGAAAAATAGTTGGTCAAGTTGCGCTCAGACATAGACATTCTTTTTTCTTAAAATAAGGCTAGGTAATATATTTTACTATTTACCGTTGACAGGATATTTTGAAATCTGAATAATTTTTTTGGTTATTTTTATTTTTTAAATTCGAATAACCGGTTAAATGCGTCCGTAAATATTCTAGATTATTATTATATATATATATATATATATATATATTTATAGAAACCGGTTATGTATTCTCCACGGTGCAACATGTAAATAAATTACCCACGCGGTTTAAACTTAATTTTTACTCTCCAACGTTACATATTATAATATTATTGTTAGGAACAAATGTAAAATCAATATTATTATGACCCGGTACAATTATACTACATAATATTATATTATATACCTATTTGTATGTATACTACATACTTGTGCGTCCTACCTATGTCGAAAACGCAACAAACAATATTTATTTAAATGAATTTACGAATTATCGCCATGGCACTTTGGTCGATTTCTTTTAATTAAACGTATCAAATCAAAACCCGAATGGGCTCTTTTTATTGGTATTTACAGTTCAACATTATTATTTGAATTGTATCCATATTTAATCGACAAATCTTCATTTTATAAATAAACTGCCGTAGCTATTATATTGAAAACTCGTTTGACTGCAGGATACCTATTATATTTTTTTAAGAACATAATGTAATTTATTGCTTTCGTTTTGTGGTATTGAGATCAACAGAACTTTTTAGAACAATTAAAATATTACCTAGCTATACCAGCTATTATTAGTTTGGTCATCACTGACTAGTTAGGTAAAGTTGGGATAGGTTAAATAAAATTTAATAATTTATCAATATCGTTAATGTTATTATAGTGCTTATGGGAAAGAAAAAAAACCGTGGGAGTAGTTTTACCAGCGCAAACCACTTGTGTGCACAAAGGTGGGTACCTACGTCACGCCACTGTAAAAAAAAAAATATACCTAAATAATGCATTAATCATTAATAATTGGAACACTTTTGATTACGTAGTTTGTGCCGAAATAAATTCTATATTTTTTTAATTATTAAATTGAATTCATTAAAAATTACATGTTCGTTTTTTTTTTTCTATAAAGTTAAAGTTTTTTTTATTTCGTATTGTTTTAATATAGTTTTAAAAGCTAGGTTTCAAAAAGCTGAAATTTACACATTTTCGAATGGATTATTATAAAACATCAAAAAAAAAAAAAATGTTAGTTAATAAATGATGATAACGCCCAATTTCAAATTCGTATCAAGCCAAATTATTCTGTATACTATATGGTATTTAAATATGTTAGTCATTTCTTTTAGATAAAATTCTAACAAATACTTATATTATTGTACCGTATTTTAAAAAGGGGAATAACAACTAAGAATAATTGAAAATCGTAGCAATGAAAATCTTCATTTAAAAAACCATATTTTTTAAATAGGATAAAATCATAAGCGTCATTACTGGGTAGCTAAGGGTAGTAACTGATGTTTTTATCAGGGTTGCAGATTTATAGCTACGCTATACTCTGAGAATTTTTTTAAAAATTTACAATTTTCTTGGTTTTTTCTTTATATGATCACACGAATGTAATAATTATATACTATCGGCTATATTGAATTTAAATGTACATAAAAATAAGTCAACTGATTACTATTATACTTCTAAATTTATTTAATATTTTCTACTTAATTCTGAAGAAAAATTTACTAGGATCTGATTGATGATTCATTTGCTTATGAAGTGGAAGAGGTGAATATTAGATCACAACTGAATTAAAAATATTACTCAAGATGCTTGCTGTCTCACCATTTACTTATTCAAATAACGCCTATCCATAAGATAGTGATTTGAAATTTGAACTTTAGACTTCAAAGGGACTAAAACAAATTTAATTAAAGTAAATCAAATGATTTTTTTTTTTTTTTTTAAATGTGGTGATTATTTTCCGAGCCTCATCAATATTTCTCGAATATTTCAATGTTTTCGACCGATCTTCATACAAAATACAGTTTGACACTATTTGAAGACAGCAATCTTTGCAAGCATTTGACGGTTTTCATATTTTTAAACAAATTTGCTGAATCGATAATTATTGTTGTTTGCTGATTATTTAGGGAATATTTTTAATTTTTTACGTTTCGATCTCCGCGGATCTCAGCTGTCATGTAACGAACTTCCATTTACAAAATTTTCTATTTAACGAAACATTATTGGGAACCATGACCTCCATTGTTAATTATAAGTAAATCTATCTCCGTATAACGAATCTGATGTTTCTATATTATATTGAATAAATTATATAACAAACCCGTTTTTGGAAAAATGTTGTTAATGAATTATGACTCACCTACCGACAATGATATTATGGAAGACGTTAAAAAAAAGAAAATTTCGGTGTAAACGAAGACGAAGACGAATGTGCAGAACAACCAGTAAAACGTACATAAGAAGAGATGTTATGTTTTTTTTATCGAGTCTATTAAAGACGATAAGTAAATCTTCCCGGAGAAATTTGTAGAAAACTTTATGGAATGGATTTTTGTTTTTTTTTTCGAAAAAATTAATAAATAAACGAAACTCACATTAAAATTAAATTTTAATTAAGATTAAAAATAATAAAATATACCTAATATAATATCAACGTCAACATTTATTTCAACTAACATTCTATATATTTTTGGAATTTTTAATTTAGATTGCTATTTGAAAAGTAGTTGATGGTTTTACACCCAAAAATAAGGATGACCAAAAATAACATAGATGTGTTACACATATTGAACAAATCAAAATTATTTTGATATTTATTTATAGATTGTCAATATTATTGTGTTGCTGATTTACTTTTACTTTTTGATTACGGACCAGGTGACTTAATAATGATATATTGATCAATAATATTGGTCAATACACTTAAGACTTCGTTGCAATATATAGAAGTATCACGGTGTAGTACTCAGTTATATAATTTATTATCTATCGATAACTACACTTATCCACGATGGCACTTAGGTTTAGGTATGTATACCTACATCTTCCCCGTCGAGACAGCTGAACACAGGTTTACTATTAATTTTAATTGCCGTACACAATTTTCAGTCCGACGCGGTGGTTCCATTTATTATTGTACATTTATAGGTGCCTAATAAAAGAAAAAAACTTCATTGGGATGGGCAAACATAAATTTGTACTAATACAAAACCGATGACCGACATGGTGACGTAATAAAAAACTGAAATTTTTGGCGAAAACCATAAACCGATGTCCGATGTTCGATTACTGATTAGCAGCGATTATTATTTTTGTTTATTTATTTTTGTTATACAATATCAGTTATTCCGTTCAAACAAAAAAAGGTGAATAGGGGAGATATAAATATATAACCGCCCTAATAGTCCTCTTTAAATACGTTAATGTCGTAAAAATTTCGACGTGTTTTATTTTCAACGTAGATATATTATTGATCTAATGAAGTGATAAGAATTTTGAAAACAGATTGTTTTTGTTTGAATTTGTTTTAGTCTTATTTCATTTAAATGAAAAGGGATTTGAAAAAATGAAAAAAAAATGAAAAATATTGTGAACGCCACAACTTTGTCCGGTTTTAGTTCATGACTTATACGGTATTTCTCAATTATCATGAAAATCCCTTGAAAAATAAATGAATTTACGTCCTCAATGTACCAACTAGATCAAAAATGCAACAAAAAAGGTCTCATTTTTTAAAATCAATGTGCAATTGTTTTGATTGAAATTACAAATCATTCCTTAAACCTACTTCTTTGATTAATTTATGCATTCTTTTATATTATTACTTTTATTTGATAAAAATGCAAAAATCACACAGTTTGTTTATGAAAGCTTTATTTTGCATTTTTTGACATTTTTTATTTTTAAGGTCATTTCTTGGATTTTTTAATTTCTTATTTTTTTAATTTTTAATTAAATTCCTTCATTTAAAATTTAACATAAAAAATGTTTTATTTTACACAAGCTGTATTATAATTATTTGTAAAGACATTTTTTCATTAAATAAATAAATTTGTATGTACCTATATATATTACTAATATCGGTAATATCATAATAAATATAAAAATTTAATTAAAAGCCATTTTAATGGCATTTTATATTGTATTTGTGAAGACTTTAAATGCATATTTTATTGCATTTTTTGTACGTATTTTGTGTATTTTTAATGTAGTTTTTAGCGTTTATCACTCCATTAAATTCTAAAGCCTTATTTATGACGAACAAAACTCTAACAGAATTTTACAAAATAATCGCTATTTTAAGATAGGTATCAATATACACAATGAATTATTATTTTTTTTTTTGTTTTATACATTTTGTTTGAGCAGTGCAATATAAACATACAGAAAAAAAAATGAATAATTAGCTAAATTTAACATAAAACAATATAAATTTCGAAAAAAATCAGCGATGCATATAAAATTCTCCAGGTTTTTGGGTAACTGTAGAAGAAATAAACAGCTATACTGTACCTGTACTATATATACTGTTTCATTACTTTCAGAATTACCTATTTTATGTAAATTCTCAGTAACAATTTTTTATTACAAATTGCCAAAAGTAATTTGTTTGTATTTCATGTAAATATAGTAGATACATTATATTTACCATATTAGGAGCATAAATTTAAAAAAAAAGATTTTTCTCAGGGTTTAAAATGTTCAAAAACTGTTTTATTTTAATTTAATAAATTTATTTATGTTAATTTACAATACAATTTTAATTTTTCGGTTATATTATAGTCGTTTTAAAACAAAAAACTTTCCATACCTACTTCAAGAATCTAAGATTTATTCGGTTTTTATTTAATTTATAATAATATTAACTTATAAATAATAATAAGTGCCTACATTAATACGGCTAATACGATCTCATTTACATAAGCGATAACTAATAACATGTTATTCAACGTAGTAGTGTAGTCTAAGAAATGTGAAAAATCATTACTCAAATTATTTGGCAAGGTTATAGGTTTCAATTTATTTATTTTTAGATTAGTATAGGTACTTGTTTACAGTGGTTTTTGATTCAATCATTGTTTTTCGTTTTATTCTTCGACATGAGAATACGTATTAATATTATATGTGAGATATCCTATATAGCATTTAAATATTTAACCATTCACCGGTTATATATATTAACCATTATCCAAAATACCAATCCAGTGATAACAGTAATTATAAAAACTGATATTGAAGATTTAAAAATTATAATTATAGATATAGATATTTTAATATGCATAACTGTTTAAATTGGTGGATTCATATATGAATTTTCCGATATAAAACTTCCTTAGTTGATAATCCTGAATATTTTGCCAACAATTCTTAATTTTATTCAACAGACATGTTTTTCAGATTCTGAGTGAAGTAACTAAGTAAGAATGTATTGATTTTGCTATATGTGCATTATTTTTTTTTTGGTCTGTAAACAACTTCTTTACCAGAAACCTTATTCCGATAAATAACTAGCATTTTTTCTAAAAAATACTTTCTAGTTGGTACATACAGGATAGTAATTTTTAATTATATTTATTTAATATTCCTCGTAGTCTACTTAATTGGAAATAATATAAAAAAACCTGACGGAAAAGTGTACGCAATACCGGTACTTACCAGTTATTTTCGGTTTTGTTTCTTGTTGTAATTTTTTTTTATTTATTTATTTAATGTCAAAAATATACATATTATACAAAATAAAGTTAAACATGTAATGGTGATACTTACTCCTTGTAAGGAATGCTTGTGGTGGGAGTAAGGAGTCTTACTTGAATTTTTAGAATAAAAATAATATTAATAGTAACACAATAATAATTAATGTAATATAATATTAAGAAATAATGTAATAATCTTTTTTGATAACATTTTTAATATACATAATAAATTCGAATAGAGGAAATAAAAATGAAAGAAAATAATTAAAGTGCTAGGAAAGTCTATATTATGAAATACAAAGGAAAAAAATTAACAAAAACAAAGATTCCTAAGGTAGGTAACAGAGAGAAGTATAGACATTAGTGAAATAGATTTTTAAACTTTTTCTTTATCTCAAACTTAAATTTTAAATTGTTATTAATTACTTTCATACAACTAAGTAGTTTATTAAATAATTGTGTGCCCCTATAAATATAAAAGAGTATTATTAAATTAGTATTTGAATTTTATTTAAAGTTAAATTTCCATTATTCGTATTTCTGATAGTTAATGTGAATTTTCAATTTTGGTTTAAATTAATTTTTTTGTTTATTAATTTTTATTATAGCTAACTTATCATATAATTGACCAATTTTTTAATAATTTAAACGTTTTAAATAGATTGTCTGTGTGATTATTTTCATTATAAAAATGTTTAAGCATTATTCGAACTAATATTCTATGGGTCACATTTAACGGTTCTAACGCATTCTTACATGCAGAACCCCATACTATAATACTTAACATAAAAATTGATTGTACAACGGCAAAATAAATCATGTTTATATTTTGAACATCAAGGATATTACGCAATTCTCTGAATATGTAATAACATTTTCAATACGTGGTATTATAACGGCAATATGAGGTACCCATTTTGAGTGTTCGTCAAATGCTACACCTAAATATTTATTAGAAATTACTCTTAATACTTCCCTAAAATTTGCCTAACAGTAATTTATATCATTATTCCTATTACACGCGTTTGAATGTAATTTTAATTTAAAATTGTTTAGCGAATTAGCAATTAGCTTTTGATATGGAAAATGTGATATAAACTGATTTACTATAGTTTAATGATAAACTATTTTTTAAGTACCATTCATTGTTCTTAGTCTTAAGTTTGCATTAGTTTCAACTTTATTCCATTTAATGTCATCAAAAAATACGGTTGTATCATCAGCATACACTAATATTTTTCCATTTATATCGAGGTCTATTAGATCATTTACATATATTGAAAATAGTATAGGACCTAGAACAGTTCCTTAAGGGTTAAATATTATTATAAATACCTAACATTTTCATAGAACACCTATAGATATAAATTTAGCCTTAGATTTTTTAACTATTTATAGCCATTTGAAATTTTCAAAGTTTCCAATTGCAAGAAAAATCATGTTAAATATTTTAAAATAGGTATATGAAAAATGTGACGAGAAAAAAATTATCATATATTTCTAGTATTATAAATTAAATGTTCATATTACTTTGCTATATTTTAAATGATAACTGAAAACAATCAAACTCCCTAACTCCATAAATCCCTTGCCCTAATTATAATAATATAGATATTAGAAGGAACGTAATTCGGTAAATTGAGTTTTGAAATTAGTATTATTATTAAAATTAGTACTAGTAATTTTCTATTTATTATTTTTTTTTTTGCTATCATTCTTATAAACATAGAGTTTACAAAAGATATCGAGCGATATGTCCCGAAGTAGTGCCGAAAAAAATGACGGGAGACGAACCGGTAAAAATCCGCGTCCCACAGGAAAGGATCGAGCAGTTGCCAGAGTTAAAGGTAAACCGAAAGTAGATACCTAATTTTCAAATAATCGTTTTAACTATCGTGTTTTGGGCTGCAGGAAAATCCATTCAAGGAACGCATATGCCAAGTTTTTTCATCAGAAGATAACGGCTCGTTGAGTTTTGAAGATTTTCTAGACCTCTTGTCGGTGTTCAGCGAACAAGCTCCAAGACAAATCAAAGTATTTTATGCGTTTAAAATTTATGGTAAGTAAAATAAAATTGGTAAAAGTATGATAGGTATGATTTTTTTTTAATATTGTAATATGTATTTTATTTTATTTTAGACTTTGTTTTCTGGTTGACTGACTTGTACTCTCTTTATAATAATTATTTCCCTATTCAATTCACCAAAATGTTGGTTGATGAATAATATTTTTGAGTATATTTGTATATAATTATTAGTTAGGAAATATTAGTTTTTTGGTCATTTAACTGGGCCGAGACTATTTGATGACTCAGTGTTGATTCAGCTTGTGCCTTGTATGATGCGCTTCACTATTTCATTCAAAATTTCGTCCCTTTGTCAAAGTATGTGAAATCTAAATTCCCTGCCTGGTTTACAGTAATACTTAAATAAATTGTTCTCACTAAAAGGCAAGTTCATGCTCTCTTCAAAAAGTTTAATAGCCCTCTTTATTATACACAGTCCTCAAATATCCGTACCCAATATAAGTTCAAGTCCAAAACATGTCGTAAAGACTAAATTGCCTGTACTGAGGCTGAATTAAAAAATAACCATAACTCTTTTTGGAAATTCGTTCGTAAGCACAGATCTGAAAGTAGTATTCTTAACACGGTCTACTTAGATGCATTTTCTAGTTCTGGTCTTTAAGATATTTTTAACTTATTAAGTTCTTCAACTCAGTCTACTCTATTTCCTTGTCCAAAAATAAAGCTAATATTCCTCTCCAGTGTTAAGACCTGTCCATTAATTTGCTATTTTAGTATTATTGATTTAGAGTCTGGTATTGATAAGTTGAAAAACGTGAATTCTGCAGTACCTGATGGGTTTCTAGGATCCTTCCTTTTTAACTTTAAACATTTTTCATTCTGTCATATTCTGGTAAATCTTTATACGTTCATTAGATGAAAGGGTATTTCTGTCTATCTGGAAGCTAAGCTCCATCACCCCCATTTTTAAATCTGGAGATAAATCATGTATCAGGAATTATAGGTCAATTTCTATCATTCTGCCTTTTGTCAACCCGATTCTTATTGATGTGCAGTATGGTTTTAGGCCAGGGCGTTTAGCCGTGATGAACTTGTTGGTCCTTATTAATTTTACTCCGAAGCTTTTGAAATTAAGTGCTAGGTTGACGTTATATTTACGGACTTTGAAAAAGCTTTCGATAGAGTCGATCACAACATTCAACTTCAAGTACTCAGTAAGACTGAGTTTTGGTGATTCACTATTGACTTGGTTCGAATCATATCTATATGGTAGGTATCAATGGGTGAAAATTAATCGATGTAAATCTGATGTCTCTTTTATTCCTTCAGATGTTCCTCAGGGGGGCCTGTCACCTTTACTATTTGTACAGTTTATCAACAGTATCAAGCAAATAAATCCCTGGTTGCAATATTCTATAGCTTTTGTAGACGACCTACAAATTTTCTGGCGAATTACCGACTCTAACTGTCTCCTGTTGCAGGACCAACTTAGCAGTCTAGCTATTTGGTTTGAACTTATTGGTCTTAATTTGTACGTGAACAAGTGCCAGTCCATGTCCTTCTCCAGTTATCGTATTTTAGTTAGCCACATCTACTCGATAAACAATATTAATCTTACATCGACCAGTCGTAAAAAATATCTGGAGTTTTTTTATCCTCTGACATTAATTTCCACTATCACATTCAATCAACAAGTTGTCAGGCATGTAAGACTCAAGGGTTCGTAAAACAAATATCGTCTGAATTTAAGCTTACCTCTCCGCTGAAGGCTCTTTACTGTCCCTTAGGGGGTCACAACCCCTGCTTAAGTATGGTTCTATTTTGTAGGATCCCATACAGTCTCCGACTCTGCAATTATCGAGCGAGTCCAAAGACGTTTTCTATCCTATTGTGCTGAATATCCCCCACCCGTTGCATGAATACTCTTCAGTTCTCCACGTGCTGGTCTATCTACGCTGGCCGATAGAAGAGTCGTCAATAACTTAAAGTTCCTCTGTAACCTCATCGAGGGTTCTGTGGACGCACCATCGCTCATTTCCCTCATCAACTTTCGAGTACCTCCACGTCCGAACCGGTCTACTTCCACTTTTGCAATCCTTAACTCATTACCTGGTTCCGTTTTTCACTTCCGCTTAATGGTCTCCATGTTTATTTATTAAGTTCTGCTGTACTTTGGATCATACCCATATTAAATAAATAAAATAAAATAATTATAATGTCTTATACAAAAACTATGATTGTAGATTTTGACGACGACCATCATATCGGACCAACTGATCTGGAACAAGTATTAAAATTGTTGACACGTAGTCAACTATCGGCCGAAGAGATCGTTCAAGTGTGTGAAAAAGTTATCGAAGAAGCAGATGTAGACGGCGATGGGAAATTATCTTTCATGGAATTCGAACATGTCATACTCAGAGCACCAGATTTTTTGGGCACTTTTCACATCAGAGTTTAGTCACTAAGAACAATCAAAAAACAACTTGAAATTTATAATATTTATGTTTATTACTTTTTATTAGTCTAAAAATAGTATATATACACACAATAAGAAAATTAAACCATAATTAATTGAGCTTTTCAACATTTAAGTGGTATTATTATTATAATAATTACATTTTGGGATACAAGCTCAAGATTTAATATCAATATTACAAAAAAAAAATTGTTACAGTATAAGTTAAAGTGTACAGCTAATTAACCTAAAAATTGTACCAATGCTTGAAGTGGGACATCTATCATCATACAACAAAAATTATCTCTCGCCTTAATATTCTGGTCCCATGTTTATGGTTTATGTGAAAGAGAACAATGAATGGGTATGTATAACGTATAAATTATCCTAATTAAAAAAATGTATTGTAAAAAGTAAATTGAATATAAATTTAATGACCAAATACATTTGAGGTATTTAAAACATTTTTTTTTTTTTAATAAACACAAACTAATCAGGATTACACAAATAAAAAAAATATAACATCTTGTTACAATTATTTTTTAAAAATATAATATAACAAATAAATTAATACTAATACAGTTTTTAGTTTGAACAACTATACATAGTTTATAATATGATCAGTCAACTATTAGGCAAGGGTATCAAATTGTCTTATAAATTAATTGTGAAAACAAATATGAGTTAAATTTAAATGTACATTGTTAGGCGTAATTCACATAATGCATTTTAGGAAGTTTTAGTGAAATAACCTTTGAATTACCTAATTAGTTTTATCTAAAAAATATAATAAAATTACTGTCATTAAATTAGTCTATAGGTTATTAATGCCATAATCTTATGCAAATTTAATTTTGTTTAAACATATTCGTGTAAGCTTAATTATATTATGTGTTCTTATATTTTTGTCAGTTAAATTATATATAAGTTAGTTGTTATTGAAGTAAAAAATGTTCTTAAAGCTTAATTTTATTACAATTTGGGGTGCTTTTGGTTAAAGATTATATATTATTTTCCAGACTCGAATCCAAATTAAAAATAAATTATTATAAAATAAATTTAAATTTACAATTTAATTGCTAATTTTACAAATTATTAATAATAATAAAATGTATTAGAGATTTTTTTTTTTTTTGTCTTCTATAATATAATTAAAGTTTGACACTATCTACTTATATCAAACCCAATACTGATTTCTCCTAAGCATTGGATTATTTTGTTCAGTACCATCAGCACTGCTACTATATTCTTCATCAGCAGCACCATACGGATACCTCATATTAAAATCAGTCTCTGGTTCCGTGTGTTCAGGGGGACCTAAAGCAATTACTTTACATCCATGATTTTCATTCTTTTCCATTCCAGGTGAAGTTGTCATTAAATCATCGGGTGGGCAAGGTAATGGCATAGGATTCATTTTGTCCAATTCTTCTGCACGTTTTTTTGATCGACACCGAACGAGTACTACGATGACAAGAGATGCTACTACTACAGCCATAATAAATCCAACACATAGCAAATAGTCATCACTCATATTTGGTCTAGCAATTTCTACAATATCTGATTTTTTATTAACAGATGTAGGTGAATACTTAAATGTGGTAAAAGTGGGTAAATGAGGAGTTGTAGTGGAAGGAGGCTCTGCAACAGATACGTGAAATCGTAACTCTCCAATTGCAGGTTGCACACCATTAGCTGTTAATAAAAATGGAAAACTGTCTTCTATAGGTTCTGGTACCTTTTTAGCAACAAAATAAACTATTCCACTCGCTATTTCACCGTGTGTGAATTTTGTAACATCTACTTCACGCATCACTTGTTTGTCTCCTGACCTTCTAACAATTTTTTTTAGTTTCCCGTACTTTGGTTTTCTTAAAATTTTGTATTTGGGATCAGAATTCGTAGTTTTTGCTAACATTTCAGCATTCAAAACTTGGACTCCAAGTTGTGACTTTAATCCTGTTAAAGGATAAAATGCCCCTGTTTTCACCAGTGGTTCAACACTGATATTTAACCACAAATCCTTAATTATAGGCGATTCTTCACAATGCATTTCGGCAGATAGTCTTAAAGCATCAGCTGCAGCAGTCAAATCAGTTTGTCTATAAATAACTCTACCGTCTTTTAAATCTTTGTGCGAGAATAATTTTGATTTTGTTCCATTTATGTAAACAACACCATGCCTAGGATTTGTTGTAATATTGTAAGCAACAGAGTCTTTATCACCATTTGTCTCAACTTGAAATAATTTTTCGTTTACTACAGTTTCGTAGGTTCCTTGAAGTAATGGCAAAGGGAATGATACAGTTACATTCAATGTTACAGGTATGACGTATATTTCCAAAACCTTATAAACAGGATTAAACTGACCGTCCCATACACGGAAATAAAATGATGTAGGTTTCAGTTGTCCATCATGTTTGTAAACTACTTCACCAGCATCAATGTCGGCTTGAGTAAATCGAATAGAATTTTTAATTCCAGCCAAGTAAAGATTGCCATAGACAGGTACTGTTATAATATCATAAACAATTTGTTCAGGAGGTGTATCAGGGTCTTCTGTTAACAGTTCTGATCTAGTTAATGTTACAGATTGTCCTTGAACGAGTCTTAAACTTGGAAATGCTTGTGTTAAAAAGAATGGTTGATCGTTTACGGGTATAATGCTGATTGGAATAGTAACATTGCACAAAGGAACAATAGTAGGATCAGTATCCAAATAGACAGAAAATTCTAAACTATCAGAAAGGGTGTCTGAATGATCGTGTACATATCTAACTTGATTACGTCGCATGTGACCTTGAGCAAATATTCGCCGATCACAATCATCATCTAGGCATACTTTACCATTCTTAGGTTCATTTATCAGTTCAATTTTGATAACTGGTGCCCTTATACCAATACTGTTAATTAGAAATGTCAAAATTGCAGTTGTATTTAAGTCGATAACTGTAGATTCTCCTTCTTTAACCACAAGTTCTTTGGTTTTATCACCAATTAAAAGTTCTTCGAGGCCTCCAGATGATACAGTAATTTCTAGATTAAAAGTCTGTAAAAAATATTATAAACCACAAATTATATGTATTTTGTGATTATTAAATTGCGATAATTTATTTTCAATTATTTGACTTACTTGGTTAACAATTGGATTTGCAAATTCGCAAATTACATCAAATGTAAAAATATCAGTTGAAGTATTACTGGAGAAATCTTTTGATAAATGATGATACCATACAGCTGATTCATTGATGTTTTTTTGTGTGAAATTAGTTACAGCCATTTGATTTGATTCGTACAAAGCACTTTTAGTTACAACACCATACATTGGTGCATTTTTTATTATGTAAGTAACTTGATAATTTGGATCATCACATTGAGCCAATAAATGATCAATGGTTAATTGACGCCCAAGCATTGGAAATACTCGCAATGGATTATTAACCAAAAGTTTAACCGAAGCCTGTTCTGCAGTTATTTTAAAATATATAAGCCCGGTTGAATGAAGACCATCAGTAGCCATCAGTTCCAATTCACCATCACAATTCTCTCCAGAGTGTTTAAAAAAAACAATATTTTGATCTATTTGAGCTTGAGTAAACCTCTCGGCGTGTTGCGATTCTAAAACCACTTGGCCACATTTAGATGACGAAATCACAAAAGTCAAATTGGAAACATCTGTGTCTTTATCTTCAACAGCTGCAATATTATTTTTTGTTAACAAAAGATACAGTTATTCCTAATATTTGGTAATATTATCAACTCACTTAAGTTATCAGACGTTATAAGTCCAATTCCACCTTTCCAAACTTTTATACCAGTATTTCTGGAAATTGATGGTTTTTGATTGTTTACTGGATTCACTTTAACTTCAACATCCACTGGAGCACTTTCTTTTTCGTCAGAAACGGCTACTTTAACTGAAAAACTATCGTCAGTACTCTCAGACCCATCATGGACGTACTATAATAAAATATTTACACACAAACAAAATTAAAACAATCATTTAAAATATTCAATACATGTATGTTTTGTGTGTAATTTTAACCAACCATTATTTGTGATCTTGCTAATTGTTTCGGACTCCAAAAATCTATAGTTGGGTCAAAAGTATCGGCTGTAGTACGAACAATACGTCCATGGTTTGGAGCACTAACCAATGAATATCGAGATATCCTATCGGTATAATATGAACTCATAACTGGAAATGTATTAGCACTCAATGTTACATTTCCTCCTTCGATTACATTTAACTGAGAACTGGTTAAATATACATTTTTTGGCACAATTACAAAACTTATCTAATATAAAACAAAAAATTATATTTCAATAATACATACATTTTGAAGTTTAAAATAATTATAACTTACAACAAGACCATACAATGAAACAACTCCATTAGTAATATCTACAACTAATCGATCAGTACTTTGATTCATGGTTGATTGTACATAATAAAGATGGCCACTATTTATAAGACTTTGATTAAATGTAATCAAATGATTGTTTTCCGAACTTCCAGGTTCTTCATCATTTGATTCTCTTTCTAAATATCCATAATGTGGTGGTTCTTTTACCAAATACATAATATCCGAAGATGGAACCATATCTTGTTTTATCTAAAAATAAATATATATTTAAATTAAAAGAGTGAAAAAAATCCTCAAATGTATTTCGTTATTTTAAATATAATTATTATTTTTACTTCAAGGTACTGTTTTGTAATTGCAATAGTAGTAGATTCATCAACTATTACTGGAGAGTTTTTAGTCACTTCGAGGGGTTCCCAATAATATTGTGGTAAAAGTCTTATATCAAATTCTAATTCTCTAAATACAGTACTACCAGCTGATACACGAAATAATACTCTATCTCGAACACTTTCCACATCACCATTATGTCTGTAACGTACATGGTTAGCTTCAAGTTCAGCTTGACTAAATAAGGTAGTTTTTAGAGGTTCAAGATTTGTGCCAAGCTCTATTTCGCCTTGGCCAGGACCTTCTACTACTTGATAGCTGAAATAAAATATTATTATTTGATAGTTTTGTCAACTGTAATGAATCTTAAAAGGATGCTATACTAGCATATGTTTCAATCTTAAAATATAAGAAATTTGTATTTAGTAGAATTGATTTTGTGCTTTAAATTTTATATTAGAGTGAATTTATCTATTATGAAACTAAAAAACATTATCTGTATTTACAACGTAATTTTTTAAATATTTCAATTTTTAAGGGATATATAAGTATGTATAATGTTAAAATTTAAAAATGGTTACGATTAACTACCTTGAAATTAAAATATTTAAAACCGATGTAAAAGCACAAATACTGTTCTTACCTTCTAATTATTCACTCTAATAATAAAATAAACAGCACAAAATTGGTCCTGCTTAATGCAAATCTGTTGTGTTGTGAATATGAAAGATAGAGAACGTACATGCGAGTATAACATCCTATAATAAAAAATGAGTACTTACATAATTTTATCAGAGTGTATATTTAAATTTGTATCAGCATAAATATGATTAGTTGTAATAGTAGCTGCTCCTCCTTGTCTCAACATCAATTGAGAATTATTTAATATTTTTATAAATGCTGGTGAAGACTCAACTTGAAGTTTAAGATCAATAGAATGCTTTCCGTCAAATACACCAAGTTCCACAACACCTATTCGAGTTTGTTTAGTATCAGATGAGAACTCATCACGATAAATCAATTTCCCATTGTTCACTTCTTCCTAAAATAATTAAATGTAATATGATTTACAATACAATCTAAAAGTAAATATTAATGAATCAATAATAATAATGATAGGTAATATATACCTGAGTGAATTTCATGATAGTTCTAAATGGATCATTTACAGTATTCAAGATCATTCCATTTGATATAGTATTTATGGTAAAAATCAGTGATTCTACCGGTGTATCAATATCTTTGTCTTGACATTGTAAATTGCGATTAGTTATAGTTCTATCACCTCCTGTGACTACACGTAAATTTTCATCAGTCACACAACTTGGTGGATTATCATTGATTAGTTGTATTGATATATTAACTAGACCAACAAACTAAAAATACACATTAATTAATTATTATTAAATATAGTCCAAATTAAAAATAACTAACTTGGAAATTAGCATTTTTCGATGTGGCCAAAAATTTAAAATTGTCATAATTATTTTCAGATCCATCATGCGAGTATGATAATGTACTGTCATATAAGTCATCTTCAGTAAATACAGTTACATTTTTAACTGTATTATTATTTATTAATAAATGTAAATATCCATGATCTGGACCAGATAAAATTTCAAAACGTAATTGATTCACACCGACACATTTAATTGAAATGTGTTTATCGGTCAAGGGAGAAGAACTGCCTTCTGTTACCTGTAATTAATTTGATTGTTAAAAATTTGAAAGTAAATAAAATATACTAAAAATAAATAATCACTTCTAGAGGATGGATAAAAGCAGAAACGGCTTGAGCCAGTAAAGAGCTTGGGGAATATTCAAAGTTCAATAATTGAGATGCTATAGGTTGACAACGAGGTGCACTTATTTTTATATCTAATATGTCTGTTGCTGGAGAATATGTATCATGATGAAGTTTTAGTATTAAAAATCCAGAATCTATATCATTTTGAGTCCATGTTTCACCATCAACTAAAGGTTTATTCCTAAAAACATATTTATATTTAAAAAAATTAGTTTATACAAATAAATAAAACTATACCTTAAATATATTGAAGCCATGTGTGAAGTTTTAGTTAATTCAAAAATTATGGAGCTTGGATGTAAAAGTATTGGATGGGTTTGAACTTTAATAGAATCACTTTTTATAACAGCCTCACTAGATGCTTGCCATTTTAGAGGACCAAACACATCCACAATCAAATGTACTTCAACAAAATTAAATTCAAACTTGAAAGTATCTCCTAATTTTATTTTTCCAGCCCATAGTTCAAACTAAACAAAACATATTAAATAGTTTAAACATGTATAAGTATTTATTATTTAATATGCTATTTACTTTAAAGAAATCTTTTGTTGGAGAACCTTCACTGTTGTGTACATAACTGACAAGTTTTTTTTCTAATTGATGATTATTAAAAAAACTAATTTTATCTTGAGCTTGTTCGCCATCGGTTAATTTAATTACACCAAATTTTGGGTATTTTACAATCTATAAAAAGACACATACATTCTTATAAAAATGAAAAACAAAAGAAATTACATATTTGCATTATGAGTTTACATAGGTGGTACAATAATAGTAAAAATAAAATAAATTCATACTTTAAATGTTAACTCTAGTGATGAATCATCAGCATTTGTAATAAATGTTAAATTTGAAGGAGTAATAACAACAGATGATTTGTAAGCCAAAATTGCACCAGTATTTTGAACATGGGTCAATGATAAACTATAAACATCAATAGGAATTGTTGTAATAGCACTTTCTTTTTCACCATCAGAGACCTACAAAGAAGCAAGTCAGTATAAAAATGTATTAATTTTTTAATCACATTTAATTAAACTTACTTGTACAGTAAAACTGAAATGTCCAGTGTCATTTGAAGTGTGTCGGTAACCAATAAAACCATGATCCATTTGAGCAACTGAAAATGTTTCCAATGGTATATTTGGATTGTCAGTTGTTTCTAAATAGCCTCCAGTAATGTTTATTATAGAAACAATAAGTCTTTCTGGGCTTGAATCTCGGTCAATAATCACTATTTTATCTTTGTCCAACATTTTCCACGAGCCCTAAAAATATTAAAAACCTTAACTAACTTAACATTTATGATGGATTTAAATTACTTACATATTTAAATAAAAAAAAACTCATAACGAAAAAAATCAGTAGCTACTGCATGCTAACTCACAAAGTATAAACTAAAAAAAACTCAAAAGCATTAGATAAACAATACAAACAAGCATTAACTATGTTTGTTGATAAACAAATGTAAGAATTGTACCTGTGCTAAAAGTAAACTGTAATCAGAAGGTATACGAACAGTAGGATTATCATTTTCTGGTGTAATATTTACAAGCAATTCAAATCTTTGTCGTCCTTGTAAATAATCAGGTAATAATAATCCTTCATTAGAGACAAATTCAAGATCAAGTGTTATTAAATCTTGAGTACTTTCAGATCCATCATGAACATAGAAAACCTAAGATAATAATTTCATATTGAAAATTTAATGTTTATTATTTGTTAAAATATAATAAACACATAAATAAATAATTAAATATAATTTATAAAATTTTAAAAAAAAATTAATGAAAAAAATATTTTATCATAAAATATATTATATACTGTGCTTAATATCATAAAAAGAATTTAATTAATTTTTAAAATAAATTATTATTAAAAACACTTACCTCATTTTTTAAAATATTGAGCATGTTAAATGTAGAAATTGAATTTCCAATTGATAATTTTGAAGACTCTATATTCAATTTGCCATGTTTTGCAAAAGGTTGAACAATATGAAATTGTACAGCTGCTTCTCGTATCCCATAATGATTATAATCCAATATCAAATTAATAATTGATGTAGTTATAGTTGCTGTAGATCCTTCAGCTACTATTAAATTATTTACAGTTAGTACTTCAATAGAAATTGGTAATGGCACCTTTAACATTGTCTGAAAAAAATTAATTTTTATAATATTTTTTTTTTGTGGAAATAAAATAATTAAGATTATACATTGTGTGTTTGAACAAATTCTGGACGAACACATTGTGGGTCATTGTGATTCTCGCATCCAGTACATTTGAAAGAATTTATTCCGATTTGTGAGCACCCAATATCAGGTGAATGAACGCAAGGTTTTTCTGTACATGGGTACGACCATACACACCGAGATATAAGTTTGGAAGTATCTAATGCATCCGGTAAACCTAGTGCCCGTCCATCATTTGATATGCCCCGAATGCATCCTTTGAAACTGTTTCCTGCTGATAGCATACCAGATGCTAATGCACCACTTCGCATATTTACTTCAAGACCACCAACATACAACTAGGTATATAATAGATATAATTTGTAAATAAATGTATTAATATTATCATTTATAATATTATTTCACTTACTACAGTTGAAAGATCTAAATGTTTTGATGGCTGAGCTGAGTTATTGAAGGATAAATGATATTTATGTTTGGGTGAATCAATAGTAACATCAAGTCCACCAGCTTCCATAGCTACATTAATGGAATGCCAGACACCATCATTAATAGTGACATCGGAATATAGTTCAGTAACACCTGAACCCCAATTTTGAGCAACACGGATTTTACCACCAACTAATTCAACACCAACAAAATCCACATTTCCATTGTATCTACTTAGCGTGGAGCTTTTTTTAGAATTATAGAGTATTAATCCTGTTTCAGATATAGTTTTAATGGAAAACTGCCACCTTAAGGAAATAATAGTATTTATAATAAATAATTATATTAATAAATACATTTTCAATCAAATATAATAAGTGATATTATTACTTGACATTAGTTCTTGATGTCAGTACACTAGGTATAGCCATATAAGCACCATTTTCAAGAAATGATATACTTGATTCTCTTGGCGCATCAAATTCATTTACACAACCCCATGATATTGAATGCGCATCAGCTCTACCTGTTCTCCATCGTGCTCTACTTAAAACATCTGTGACTGCGTTGTAGCGAATATCTCGTAAACATCCACGTAGGCCATTTGTATGGCCTAAAAATAATTCTGAAAAATCTCCTTGACCACCAATATATAGACCACCATACATGTTCAACTCATAAAACCCAATTGGCAATTTTTCTCTAAACAAATGAAGTTAAAAATGTTTTAAATAAATTGATACTTATGGTTAATGTAAAATAAATAATATGAAAATCAATAGTATTTTTTACAATATTCACCTGACAATATGTATTTTATCAACTGCCAAATTCAAATCGCCCTCTTTACGTGATATGTTAACAAGGTGCCAGTGGAGATCATCAAGCCTAAGTCCTCTTGGAGATGATATTTCTGATTCCCCAGCTCCAAGATTGATCTTTACCTTTAGCTTACCAGCTTCCAACAAGACAAAACAGTAATCTGTTTTGCCGGCAGCCAAAAATAAGAATGCGTCCAAATGTTTTGTACGGAATGCAAAACTGATTTCTGTAGTGCTTTTGGCATCTTGATAAGGAACGTTAACATAACTAGATCCATAAAATGACGCTAAGAAATAAAACACAAAACTATTACTTGATACTATAATGTACTAAACATACTACTTACCTGTTTCTGATGAACAAATTCGAACAATGCTGAGGACGATTAATAAACGACTACATTTGATAGAAAACATATTAATGGAATCAATAAAAAACCACTTTTAACAACATTATCGGAGACCTGCTGGCGGAAATGAATCGGCGGCGCAGATGGTACAAGTTAAAAATATACCTAGAACGCCCATAACACTCACCCCTCGTAATTCATTCACTTTCTGTTAAAATAATTACTAATTTGTCTAAATTTAGCCCCCTTTCTCTTATCACTCCACTGTTTTCTTATACACCTACAACAACAACTTCATGGACACAACAAATTTCAGCTGTTTTATTATGCCAAGAAGTAATCATTGATCCCTTCAGATCATGAGTCTGTGTACGCGGTACCTGAAATGTATACGATATCTAATATCTATGCAATATTCTTATCACAGTTTCATTGATAAACATTTACATGTATTCTTCATAACCACTGTCCACGGTCTTGTAAATAGATCTGGAAGGTGCAGCTCTCATACAACAACCAGACTAATTTAAATAGGTAATATTGTATGCATGATAATTGTATTAATTTTATTATATTAAGCACGAGACGACGGTATATCCGCGTGTGCTGTTTCAGTCCAACTCACGGGCAGTATAACATCTACCTTGCTCGGACTGTGTAAAACTCGTTTAATTTTGGTTTTAGAGTAAAGCATATATTGTAAAATTAAAAGAGGACAATGTTCCGGAGGGCCAGACGATGCGGTTTTTTTTTTTTTAAATTTATTTTCGAAATATCAGTCGTTAAAAATGATGAATTAGTTTTTATTTCTAAACGAATGTACCTAGGTATTGAATGTTGTATCTGGAATGATAGGAAAAATACATCGTCTTGCCTTCCGAAATATTGTCTTCTTTTAATTTTATAATAAGCAGGTTATTTTATTCTAAAACCGGAATAAAGCGAATTCTACGGAGACCACTTGAAGTGAATTCTGCTATATTGCCCAAAAGTTGAACCGAGACAGTACATGCGAATGTAGCGTCCTTTTAATTTGTGGTAGGGACAACGTATATCTTCTCGTGTAGAAAAATATGTTTAAGAACAATTATTATTTGTCTTGAGGTACACGACCGTAGTAAAAACTTAATACGGTTTGTAATGTTTATGTTATTAACATATATTAATTTTGTAATTTAAGTTCATAGAGCGCGTAGGTGCGCCCTTTAGACATGTACATATTTGGTTTATATAGTCTACGGCCCACACCATGGAGTTTGAACGTTTCTGATCTGATCGACAGTATTTCAACCGGCATTTCTTTACAGATAATAAAGAAATGGTTAAGCTATTCCTATAACCTAAGCTGACTTTTATAAAATAATTGTATACGATCTAAGCCTATAACAGTACTGCAAGAGAGACGATGTTCCCTGATAGGCGGAAAACCGAAGCGATTTATCAATCATAGTCATCGCTCATCACTGTATGAATAAAACGCCTCACTGAATCAATTTTGGAATAACTGTACCCGTCCCTTTTGGAAGTTGATAGTTGGAACACTGATCAGATATGGAAAGCCTGCGTATAAAATATGGCCACCAGTCACCGCTAGCGACTAGCGTTCATCATAGAATAATTAATTAATAATATTATTGCCGATTTTTTTCATCCTTACCCGTTACCGTATCGAAGTAATAAAACGATATCAATGATACCATACCATCTCTCGGTCACAGTTAATATAAATTATTATCTATTAACCGGGCATCCTGATAGCTGCCAAATTGATATCAGATGCAATATGGGCATATGGCCCGATGGCCGACACTGACGTAAAATGAGCAATGTCCATGTCTTTATTACCTATCAATACATTTTTTTAACCAACGTATCTACTGTCTACCCACATCCAGCTTGGATACATAAAAATATACATCATTTTATATATCTGCGGTCTGGGCATCTGATATCATTAGAAATGTTGAAACGTTTTTATCATATACGTCATGAACCGAAAAAAAGTTTGTACTCGCAATATTTTTCGATGACTGTTGTCAAATAAATAAATACGAATCGTTATTTTCTTTAAACTCGTATAATTTGAAACTTCATTTTCGTATACGAAATACGATACGCAGCAGAAAATACAATATTTTGAATTACTATATTTTTATCTCATTATCAATGTTGTGTTATTTGTAAATACGTAGGTCCAAACATTGTATTGAGAAAATGATTGTAAATCAAAATAAAATTACCTGATCGTTTTAATTTTTCAAAACAAATTGAAAAGAATTACGGTATGGACCACGAGTTAATCCGTGGTATGGACATATTTAAAATGCTTTTTACTTAGGTTGGTGGTATAGGTATTTAATATTTATTATATTATGGTAAATTGTAAATGCTTATCATTTTTATTTATTTAATTTAATTATCTTAAAATTGGTTAATGGAAATTAAAAACAGTACTGATATTAAAAATTTGAAACACAATTTTTTTACCACTAGCATTTAAAAGTACCTATGTAAAAAGAAAATGACCAAGGATTAATATTTATGTATTTTTAATGATGAAAAGGATATTTTTTAAACATTTTCCTAGTAAATAATAATAATTATGTTACTTTGTTGATAAATATTTCATAATATTGGAAACAAATTGTCTACAGTTATTCACAAACTGAAGTTCATCAAAAAACAAAATCGAAAATACGGAAATTATTATTATGTAAATGTTATAGTTTTTGTGATGATTTTTCTCAATTTTCTCTATTGGTTATTAATAAGAAAACTGTGATCGACCGGTATTTTACTTTGGTATTTAAATCGGAAGTTTCGACAAGAGATCGATGTAAACATATCATTTTCGACACCATAAAAAAATATTTTTTTAGCCATTTGAATAGTTTGTCGATAACCGAAAGAAATTGTTGGGAGCTGAGACCCGGTTAGAGCCAAATTATTTATAAGAAATAACTTTACATGTATAGAGTTCTTTGAAACGATTGAAAATGAAAAAAATGCACCTCTAATATAAAAAACACCTGTACATTTATGTTCATATAACTGTATAATTATTATCAATTAATTGTTACTTCAAAATTGACTGCATGAATATCTCTTTAATGTAATAATGTAAACATCGAAATAAAATTCCATGGTGAATGGTGAATTTTTTATTTAGGCAAGGGGCCGGTATACGGAAATGAAAAGTTGGACAATTCTACCGACAGGACAACCGACTGATAATCAGAATACCAAGCAAAATACCGACAGGATCAATGTAATGTTATTTAATACCGTGTAATTTATAATTATAATTATAAAGATCGGGGGAGAAAGTGCAGTTGACCAGGTCACGATCGACATAAATATAAATAAAATGTTCGATAAACATTATAATCGCGTTCGTAAGACGGAGACAGTAGACGTCGGTGTAGCGCCCTCTTAAGTTGAATGGAGTATAGTAGGTCATTCGCATCTTATGTTATAAATTCATGTTACACATAAACTTATGTTACTATTTATTATAGATATAGATAAAATGTAAATGTTTGAACAACGTATTTTTTCGTGAAGGTAAATATTTAATTTTATCATTCGACGTTTGTTTAATAGTTTACTTTTGTCCAATTAATTTAAACTTGTGATGACTATCCGTTGAATGACTCATGTTACGTTTTCGGTGGGATTTCGGCATGCATACGACCCACTCGCTATGGTTCACGTCATATCACTGAGTAGTCGGTAATCACTAGTCAGCAATAGGTTTTTATCCGTATCTGTGATATACACACGATTATTTTGTTCGAATTACACATAAACCTTAATACATTATACTAAGCCCACCCTGCGTGGTCCGTCTATTAGGTAAAAAGGTCAATGGAATTTTATAGATTTTATGTTATCGAACGTTACGGTTACCTACGGAAAATAGTGATAACCGATTTGACAGTTACCGCTTAAAATGAATTAACCTTTCAAATATTTCAAACGCGTAAATAGGCGTCACACATTTTATCAGGAAAAAGTATTGGTGTAATGTATAACCTAAATCAAATTTCGCGTACTAACCAGACGTAGTACGAAACAAATGTACTTACATCTGTTATAACTGTATATTGAACGAATGGGAAAAAAAACAAAATGTCTGTAACATCCGAACTCGACCCGTATATAATAGATATACATAACGGAACAATGTAGATAAATATTTATCTCCTCGGCGTTATAGAAATAAACGGTTTGGTATTGTTTTAATGTGTGATTAAATTGATAAGTATACCATGATTTTTATTGGCAATTGTTATTTGTTCATTAATCGGTATTCGTGAATCAATTACAAACCTACCTTTGTTCCTATAAATTATTTTCACATTTTATTAGTTGTTAATTGACGTAGGTATATTATGTTAGTTTATTATGCAAGTCTGTAGATTTTATTTGCTTAAAAGATTTCAATTTGATTTTAGGTTCAAGTCGCCAGAACATATACAACACGATGACAAAAACGTTCGAAGATGACATTAATGATCTATTAAAATTTGTAGAATATTTTCCAGACTTTCCGAAGCCAGGAATACTTTATAAGTAAAAATAATTTTTAAGTAATTGCATTATGACAAGTAAATAGTCTGTTATATTCCCTTTCTTTATAGTAGTTGAATGATTTTTTTTCTTGCCTAATATTTAATGATTTATAAACAATTAATTGTGTATAGGTATTTTGCTTAAATATATATTAAAGTAAAATGCATTATTCTGCAAAATAAATAATACTTAAGTATGTTCCTACCTAATTTAAAAATTAAATTATCATTTTTTTTTTTTGAGTTACTAGGCATATTTTTATAAAGTTTGTTTATAATATATTATATAGTATATTCATTAAAAAAGTAATAAAGCATATATGAGCTCTTATTACTCGAGGGTGGAATTAATTTAAGAGTACCAAAACAGGCTCATTAGCTTCATTTATGAAATTAAAATTTATAAACTAATGGTTCACCATAGTTCATTGTTGTTAACACATTATTAATTTTCACTTTTTGTTTAAATTTCTAATGTATTAATTTATTAGGTTAGGTTAATATACCTATATGGAGGTTTTTAAACTTTACATAAAATTATTATATGAAATAATATTATTATTATTATTATTTAAATATAGGGATGTTTTATCAGTTCTCAATGATCGAAATGGAATGCAATTGTTAGAGAAAATATTAAAACAAATTTCCCTTCAGTTAATGGGTAAAATAGACTGTGTAGCAATGTTGGAAACTCGTGGTTATATTATTGGTCCAATAATCGCACTGCAACTCAGTGTGCCATGCATACCTGTTAGTAAAAAAGGTAATTTACCTGGTACACTTATCGAACAGTCATATACTCTTGAATATGGAGAGGTAATTATAAATATTTTTGATTATAATAAAATAATTTGTTTAAAATTTTATAATTTTCATTTCAGGATATTTTGACCATACAATTAAATAGTATTAAGAAAGGACAACGAATATTGTTAGTGGATGATTTCCTTGCTACTGGAGGTATAAACAACTTTAATAATATTTTATTGGTGGAATAGTTATAACATGATATTTTACCTATATTTTTCTGGCTTAGTATAGGCTGTTCAAGCACTTTTACGCAACTACCACGCCTCTCAATGCTTCTTTGTCATTAACTTATTTTTCATCAATTATTACTTCTAGAATTTATTGATCACCCTTAACACTGCCAATCCATCTTTGTCTTAGCCTTCCTAGTGGTTTCTGTTCGTTGGGGATTCGGGAAAATTTTTTGACCGTCTTGCATAAAGGACTACTTTTTGTTTATCTGCTTCTGTCCATATTTCACTCATATGTAAATCAATTTGATGTACCAATACTTTGTAGAATTTAGTTATTGTTTTTAATGAGACAATACACTTGCTATTTTTCAGATAGTCAATAATTTAAAAGCAGTAGATATTTTTCAGTAGGTAAACAATTATTACAATTTAATATTGAATAAAATGAAAGTATATTTTTCTTAAAAAATGTGGGAATTATTTTTACTTTATGGGACACTATTATATTAAATTTGTTTGATTAATAATATAATTTATAAGGAATCAGCTACTGGCTTTGCTATTATTTAAATTAAAGAAGAAAGTATCAATAATATTTTTAAAATAAATAATGGTCTGTTTGCCACTAGCCAGAGTATAATATTTTTGCTGTTTATATAGTTTTAAAATGAGTAATTGATGTTAATAACTATAATTTGAAATTATTTATACCTATATGACTTAGATTAAATTGCTTCATTAAAACCATTAATCTTTATATTATTTAAGATCATAACTACCATAAAATCATGTTCAATTTTTTTTAAAATTTATAACTACTATGCATTGGAAAATGTATGTCAAAATTCATTAGATGTTTTTTAAATATTGTATTAACAAATAATAAGTAATGAGTAGGGTTTGGGACTAAAGGCCTTGTCAAACAGAACGCGTTATTATTGTTGCGCTCTTAACGCTATCGCCAGAATTTCATACAGCATAGAAACCAAAGAGTCATGTTATAGTAGGTTTGTAGTAGTTGATTTAGTGTTTTATGCTCAATGCCTCAATCGTGTAGGTTTTCATTTGTATGTCTGTATCTTTTAATCAAATGTGTTTACGAAAAATTATTTCAGGGGTGTTTTAGGTTGTAAATTTTCATATTCTTATGACAAAAATTTATACATACTTTCAATTGTAGGATTATTTATTTTTTATTCAAAATGTCAATATTTTATAACATTCATTTTAAATTCTGAGTAGAATGAAGAATCTATTAGTTTTACAATGATGTAAATATTTTTATTTTTTTTAATGTAAAATTAATTTTTAATTGTATAGGTACACTCAAAGCCGCTTCAAATTTAATAAAAAAAAGCGGAGGAGATATTGTGCAAGGATTAGTGTTAATGGAAAAGTGTGATTTAGAAGGACGCAAAAGATTGGATTTTCCAATAATATCATTAATTTCAGATTAATTTTTATTTATAATTTATTTATTTGTTTATTTTTAAAGGTGTATTAAATTTTAAGTACACAATTTAAATGGCATTTTAAAAATATGTATTGTTCAAAAATGTGATTTAACCAATTATGAAATATAATGTATACAAACCAATTTTTATTTTTTGGATTTTGTTTATATACCTATTGATATAGATATATAGGTATTAGTACATGATTGTACTAATAAATATTTGTGGAGGATGAAGAGTTAAATTTTAGGTGGAGGTAAAAAAAAATACACAAAGTTAAAAAAAAAAATTTAACAAAAAAATCTATCATTGTGGATGACAAAACATAGATTTTTGTGAAACCGTGTTGACACTTCAACACATAAAAATAATTAAACACAAACGAGTCTATTGTGCTTGTTTTTCTGGGCTTCGTGACAAAGTTACAGAGAAGAGCAATTTTCACAATATTTTAATAATCTTAATAATTTTATAAAATTAACACATTAGCTCACAGTAGTAGCCCACTGCCATTGTTATGTCCAGCGATTGCGTAACATATTTTGCTAAGTAGATTTATAATATATTTTAACATGTCAATAATAATGCTGGTGACGTTTACGAAGCGTAAAACAATACCTATAATAATTATGTATATATATATGTACCTTGGATTATTCTACAGTAAGAGACTGTAGAATATGAATATTTATCTAAAAATGAATAAAAGTAATTTATATTGGTGTTTTTATAATAATATTTATTATTATTAATTATTTAAAACGGTTTATTGGCGGTAAAATTCAAACTTTAGCACGGTTGTTTTTAACCACGGTCTTAGATTATAACCGTGTATCAATATAGTTTTATCAGTCGTTATCTGTTTTGTTAAACTTGTAATTTGTGTATGGGAATTGATGGATTTTGATTTTCGCTGGGAAATGATGAATTAAAAAACGATATATAGAACCAAATTTTTCGCTGAATAAAAAAATGATAATTTTCATTCGTTGACTCAGGGCTGTCAGAGGTACCAATGTACCATCGCAGAATTATCGAAGGCAACTACTGGCAAGGTAGTATTTGTCTGTTATCTATGGTTGCCAGCCGGTTGCAGTTAACTTTTATCAGTTACATTTTTCTTTTGAATTCTAAGGTCAAATAACTTGGCTATCGAGAAAGGCGTCGTTAATATAAATGTTTTGAATTTTTGATAACGAAACTATAAAAATCAATTATTTTTTGTCGGTGATAATTTATGAGCTTCTGAACCACTAGTTAATATAGTAGGGGTCTACTCTCAACTAATAAACTAATACTATATTAGTATATCGATAAGAATTGAATGTATTAGTATAGTACATAAGTATTAGTGGACCACAGATGGCATTGCATGTATAAAGATAAGATTAGTAAGTATTAAGTGTTTGTATTGTTTTAAGATTTTGCTGTGGTTTTTATTTTACTTTTTAATTTGATTTCATTGTAATAGTATTGTTTGTCTGGCTTGTTTGTGTATTCTAATAAGACCGCCTTTGAGAAATGGCACTAAGTAGTATTGAAGAGGATTCACTTGCTTTAAAAAGTTATATCAAGTCGTATCCAGATTTTCCTCTACCCGGAATTTTATTCAGGTAATACATTTCAAGGAAATTTTTTTGTTTAAACACTGTTCATTTGTGCTATGCTAGGAAAATGATTACTTATTAATAGATCAGAAGTCTTGTAGCTCTAAAAAAGCACGATATGTGCAAGCACTTATGAACTTAAAAATCCTATTATATGCACTAAAAATATGGTCAAATATTTTTTTTTTAAAAGTGATTTATTTAAAAATATATACATCATTTTTTACAAAATTGTTAGTACAATTTAATTTCTTGAAAATTCTTAATTCTAAAACAATGTTACGTGTTAACTGTTTATAAGTCATTCCCACATTTGAGTGAAAAAAAGAGAAGGCTGGAGTTAGAAGATTGGTAAAAATGACCAAACAATTTTTATTGATTTCTTGTTCATTAATTATAATGAAAATATGTGATGGAATTTTAATTTTTCATTAAAAATCTTAATTTTTTTATTATTAGTACAGAGGAGATTATTTTTTTAAAAAAAAAGAATTTATTTTAGATGTGTGTTTTTAAAGTTTCCACTCATAATTATTTTTTTGAATATTAAGCACATTCATTATTCAGGATTAAAAATGTCATATAAACAGTATGGACTATACAGCATATGATAGCACTTATTATTCCCCATACAAATATCCTAGATAAGCCACTGTTTATGAAATATTATAGTTTAAAGAAATGTATACCTAATAAATTAATAAATATAAGGTAATATTATAGTAAATATTATGTATTATTTATAATATTTATTTTATAGTACCATTATTTATTAACCATCATCTTTATTATCGAATAACACATCAATTGCAATTTGTGAGGTGTTGGGTGAAGTAGATTTTAGCCATACCTATATATTATAATAATAATATTATAAGTATATTTATTTAAGTAATGGCATAGGCAAACTAATTTTTAATAATAAGTATCTATACCAGATGAGCTGTATCAGACCTGTGATTAACCAAAATTAGTATGCACTTGTGAATTTGTACTAATTAGAGGTCTTATAAATTCATCTATATTGTAATGTTTTCAAATTTAGATTTGGTTTATTAATTTATTGTTTATGAAAAGTAATCATTTTAGTTTTAGTGACATGGAGTGAAATAAAACTTCACCAATTGAAATATTTTAATGATTTGTTTTTTTGAAATTTGTATGATAAAATATGTTTTTAAATTTACAGAGATATATTCAATGTCTTTAATAATGTTGATGGATTACAATTATTAAATAATATTTTGAAAAAATATGCAGTTGAACTTTGTGGTAAAGTTGATTGTGTCGCAATGCTGGAAGCTCGAGGATTTTTGTTGGGTCCATTAATGGCATTGCATCTAAATGTTCCATGTGTTCCAGTTAGGAAAAAGGGAAAATTACCAGGAAAAGTAGCTCAGTTGGAGTATACTTTGGAATATGCTAAAGTAAATACTAATTTGTATATTTGTATTATTTGTTAACTTTTTTTAGGCTTTTTCCAGTTATTGATAAATTATAATTTCCCAATTTAATCATCATGAAAAATCTTAAAAAAAAAGTACTACATTAGTTCTGAGAAACTAATAATAATAGTTCTAACTTATTAGAAAAATAATAAGAATACGTCACTCAATTGCATATTCGTTATAACGTCAATAACATATATAAGTAATATATATAAATTCAATAACAATGACTTTATTGATAACAAATTGGCTTGAAAATAAAATCTTAATTCATTTATAAGAATTTATTTGTATGCCAATTTAATTGATATGCAGAATGGAATAGGTAATTTAATTAATTTATAATTATTATCAAATAATATTTTTTAAAACATTTTTGTTTAAATTATGGTGTTGATTTAAGTTATATGGTTTTTAAAATGTATTTAAATCTATTAAAATATCATCTTACTCTCCTAAACATTGTTTTGTATCTTTTTCTGAACATATTAAAAATTAGTAACTTAATTTAAATTTTATAAATTTAACTTTTATAAAAAGTATAGGTTTATTTGTTAACAAAATGAGCATCAATATGTTTTTAATACTGTCTTTGTTTACAGGATATATTGGAAGTTCAAATAGAAGTTTTTAAAGAAAAAAAAAGAATTTTGGTCATTGATGATTTGTTAGCTACTGGTGGTATGTGGTTTACTTAAGTAACTGAAAGCTGGGTCTACACTAGTAAAAATTTATGTTGTGCGTTGAATGTATTGTGATTTATGTTTATAAGTCGCTCCTATTTAATAATTTTCCGGTGCAAAAATAAATAAAACCCAGTATGCACCTGATGACCCACATATGCGTGAAGCATGATAATATTTGTGTGTTTTTGGGTTATTATTTTTATTATAATTATTTTTTATTATCAACATTTTGGATTAAAAAATGGATTTGGACAATATAAATGTTATCCTGTTAAAACAGGAATACAAACAACACAATTTTATGGGATTACAAAGATAAGTGACGTAATTATAATAATTATAATATTCTCGAAATTATTCACAATCATTTGCAAAAATTATTCAAATATCCAGTGTTTTCATCAATGGATAGTATATTCAATAATCTGTCATCATATTGATTCTTACATCGGTCCAGATGTTTCATTCAATTATGTCTGGATATTTTTGATCTATTTTTAGATTTTTTGATCTTTCTTATTTTATGTCTATGTAGATTATAGTAGATGTGGCTAGTCAACATATAAAATATACTAAATATCCACACTAGAACGTTGGTGTGGCACAAAAACTCGTTTCTCGCGCGCGCACGTGTGTGGGATGTGATGAACCTTTTTGTGTACATTGTTTTCAGAAAATATGTCCACACTTGCATAACTACTGATTGTGTACTTACATAACACTATGCTCACGAAATACTTTTCTATGAATATTCTGCACATTAATTTTTACTAGTGTACTAATAATTAGACTTGGATTTTAATTTAAATATGATATATTTCACAGTAAATAGTCATAGTGATTATAATAATAATAAAATAATAATAACTGTTATATTATAATAGTAAGATAATATATTATATTATCACTGTGACTTGATCATTTAATTTAAGTAAATAGTAGTGTAGTCAAGATTTGTTTAAAAAAAAATTAATACTTTGCAAGATAATGAGTGTACCCACTTAAATGGATCACCCTGGTATACATAAATAAGTCTCATAAAGGGGCTTAGCCACCTTTAGTCACTCCCTTGGTTATGCCACTGAATGAAAGTGATAAATTTGTTTCACATGATTAAAATTAATTAAACGAGCTATACAAGGGTGTACCCAGAAGTAACCAGATTAATTTTTTTTAATTTTATTTTATACAAAGTAAACTCTGTAATGTGGTTAAGAGCAGAGTTTTTGTAGTGGCGAGTTAAGTTAAAATGTAAATAACACAATATATTGTGTTATTCTTTTAATCTGAGTATTGGCTTATTAATAATTTAAATACATTCCATGTACCAAATATTGATCGGATACTGAATTTGGTTTAATGTAACTGGTTATTACTCAGTGATTATGCAGTGTGCACATAAAAACACTTCTAGTAATCTGAGATTATATTTTGTTTGTTTTTACTAATTACTACAAAATACATTGTTTTATGAAAAGATTAACGTATTAATTATTTTTATTTAAGGTACCCTTCAAGCTGCAATACAACTATTGAATAATACTGGTGCTAAAGTAGTTCAAGCACTAGTTATAATGGAGTTATGTGATCTAGAAGGTCGGAAGAAAATAGACATTCCAGTTAAATCATTCATTCAATATTAAAAATAAATTTAATTCATAAAAGGTGTTTTTTTTTTAATTAATTAAAAAATTATACATAATCAATTATTTTTAAATTAAATTTGTTCTTTGTGGTTTATTAATAGCGTTTTGAATTTTATGCTAAAATATGATGCTAATGTTCTTTAAAAAAAACTTACAAATAATCTCCTTATATTAAATTTGATAAGCAAATAAATTGTTTTTATCAGTATAAAAATTACTGTCTGCAGTTTAGCCGTTATATGCTTGTTCAAAGCTTAATACAGCAACCACAAACTGAGATATTATTTTAGTGTGTAATGCTGACTTAATATTACTATCGGTGCACATTTTCTTTTTATCAAAATAATATAACAAAAAAAGAAAAATAATTGGTAAATGATTTAAAAAAAAAAAAAGAAAGGTAAAATAATAGGGACAGGTGCAGCCACTAGTGTAAGTGGGAAATTGGGAAGGTAGGATATAAACAGGAATTTAATGTATAACTGTAAGCAACGATATGTTTTAAAATAATTAAATAGGTTTTATATATTTTCTTTAATAAAATTTGTTTAATGTTGTTCCAATTTTCCCAGTTTTCCTAAGTTTTAACGGTTTCCCCATGTTTTAACCCAGTTTTTCACATTTGCTGGGAAAATTCTTGAGAAAATCAAAAAATTACCTCTCTATAGTACCTCCCTAATGAAATTTCTTTTTAGAAACATTGCTATCATTAAAAGTTAAAGTAAAATTGCTGGCAGAAAAGTTGTGCACAGAAAAAAAGAAGGCCGTAATATATTTTAACTAATACCTACTTTTCTTATATTTTCTCATTCTTTTTCGGTTTTTCGCATTCGATGAGAAAACTTTAGAAAAAAACGAAAATGACCTCTCTAAAGTACCTCTCTACGCCGATTTCCTTTCAGAATGGGTGCTATGCTTAGAAATCTGAGCAAGTCTATCTAGTAGAAAAGTTGCGTACAGAAAAAAAAAATCATCTTTGTAAAACTATAAGCTTCTTTGCTCTATTCATAATCTAAAATATTGAACGGAATCTTAAAATTACAATAGATTATATTTTTTTTTTTCAATTTACAAAATATGTTAAATTATCCCAGTATTTGAATATCTTAAATATGCAAAAAAAGTATTTTCCTGTGCACCGTGTTAAATGAATTTTCCACATTTTATTTTCTTATATAACTAAATATTCAGTTATGATTTGTAATAACATAAAATCCTGGAATGTAGTTACAAATAACTATATTAATTTGAATTTTTCTTTTTAACGATCAAGTTATTCAAAATCAAATAATGATTTTGGCAGTAAATGTTAGGAATTTATTTTGTATTTTGAATTAGTATGTATATTATATATTATATAGTCTTTCAGTATTTTCAGTGGGCCCTTGAACTTAGGAAGCATAGGATAGTCTGCAGCACTTATTCTTGTAGTACCTATTATGTATGTTGAAGTCCCATTAAGGCATAGAACTATTAATAATGAGCAGTGTCTCCTCACCTCTCTGCTTATTGACCTTCAAGCCAATATAAAACCGAAAAATGGTCAAACTTACGAGCTTTTTTAAATTTGTATATAGTCTGCATGGCTATTGTAGGTGATTGAAGAGTGCTGTCCAGTGGTCCATGGCTATTTTGAAATTCTGACCCTAGGCAGAGATGAATATATTTGTTTTACTAAGATGTGTTTCTTTATTTTTTAAATGATGAAATGATTTTAAGGTGTGAATGTTCTTATAGATGAAGAAGGTAGTAAAATACCTATTTTGATTATTTTTAAAATAGTATTTCTGGATACACTTACATGTATATTTAGTGGCACAAAAATTAATTTTAAGAGCACGTTAGCATAACTTTTATAGTAAGTATAGTAAACCCACCTACCCAGGGCCAGCGTTAATAATTGCACTATGCACTATTAATTAACCATAATATTTTCAGATTTTCTTTAGTTTTAACAATTTTTACATCCTTTTCTGTTTTGACAGTAAATAGTACATAAAGATATCAAACGCTAACATCTACCAACAAGTTTGAAAATTACAAACATGTATTGTATTGCTAACATGCGTAGTCAGTTTCCATTGGAACAAAAAAAGTACAAATAATAAACAATTTGAATTTGTAGTGAAATAATATTGCATAAATTATTAAACTCGTACAATGTTAAGGTAGCGATTTTTAATTCAGTAAATAGAAATAGAAATAATAATAATAATATGGGATAATAATGACAAACTTGATAGGAGAAAGAAAATAATGTAGAGAGAGATTGAGAGACAGAGAGTGTCAGAGTGGGAGAGAGAAAGAAAACAAGAGAAAGATGATTATTTGAACTGATTTCGACAAGGGTGTGTTATTTGGTATGTTTACTTCCATTAAGGTTGTGTGTAAATTGCTCCTAGGAGCATTTATGTAATGACCTAAAACAAAGTACGGAAAATAATGGACTTGTAACGAATGAGACTGCTTGAAAAATGAAATTGTTGGTATAATAAATTTAACTCACGTTTCTAAAATAGTATCAAAATGTTTTTGTTTGGCTTTAATATAAATACAAGTGTCCACCAACTGCAGATTGAGGATTTTGATTTTTTTCAAACTACGGCACAACGATTTTATTAAATTTAATTTGTACGGCTTATGGTTTCTACTATAAATATTGCTCCGGTATACAAAAGACAAAAAAACATTTTTGTTGAATTTTTCAATTTTGTTTATGAGTAAGTTATTCGTTTTTGATTTTCTTTGTAGTTTTATCAATAATTAGGAAAAATCGGGAAAAAAAACCGTAAATGAAAACTGACAGATTTACGGCGCTACGATTTCATTATTTTAAATTTGTATGGCTTATGATTTTTATTAAAAATATTGCTCCAATAAAAAAACAAGAGATATTTTTTGTTAAATTTTGAATTTCGTGTGTTACAAGTTCTTAGTCACAAGAAAGTCGGTTTTTTGATTTTCTTTGTATTTTTTTTTATTCATTCAGTAAAACCGAAAATGCGTAGAAATTACGGGAAAAAGTAGCCCACACCCCCCACTATCCACCTACAATAGCGGCCGTACCCGTCCCTGTCAGTATTAGATTTTTTTTTTTTTTAATTCTCCGGTAGTCTAAACTTGGCCTATTCGCCCACGCCCAAGGTCCCATTTATCCATACTATCTCTACACTGAAATCCGTCGTAAGGTTGGGTTGGGTTAGATTAGGTTAATTTATGTTTATTATTTATATTAACGGGTATCGCAATCATCGTCTACGTCAATATCGTAGTCATCTGCGTACGCGACGCACTCGTCGACGTGCATCTCACAGTCGTCCCGCGATACAGATACCGACTCCTGCGTTGTTCGTCTTTGTTTCCGGCCGGTTATACCGCGTTCGTTGGCGTCCAGTATAAGCGTAATCATTTTTTATTTTATGTACTCGACCATTTTGGGTACTTGCGCGGTAAAAACATTTTTACTTCTGTACCTATTATAACGGTTAAATATTTCACATATTTGTTATTTTTAAATTACGGGGCATTTTTTCCATTATCTTTACAAGTTATACTATTATTATGATCAATACGATCGACGATATATACGATGGCAGCTGGCTATTGTTCCGCAGCAGCAAAATATGAACGGCGATGAAGTTTATTAGATATTGCAGTATAACTATTGGTGCCGAAGTAAATTTTAAAACATATTGCAGGTACATAAAAATTTACCAAAAAAAATATAAAAAGGACGGACATACTTCGCACGTGAGTGCAGCCACTTTTGTAGGCGGGAAGTTGAGAAGGTAGGATACAGACGGGAATTTAATGTATATCGAAAAAACGATTTTGAGCAGATTCAGTTGATAGTGTTGCTTTGTCAACAATATATATGTCATATTATTATTGTAAAATGATTACAACAGTGTGCGTTTCCATGACAACAATGATTGTTTAAAAAAGATTTAAACTAATAAAAACCTAATAATAACAATAAATAAATAAAGACGGTTGCCGATGACAACCTTATTTTTAATCTTTCAATCTTTTTTAACCTAAACAACCAGGTTTTCCTCGTTATCTTGAGTGTTAAATGAAAATTTCAAAAAAATTACCCCCCTAAAGTACCATCCAGAGAACATTTACTTTCAGAAAATGTGCTATACTAGATGATCGGAGAATGCTTTCTGGTAGAAAAAGTGTTCGCGTATAAAAAAAAAAAAAAAAAAAAAAAAATAATTAAACATCGTTGTAAAACCAATATATTCCTCGCTCCACTCAGAATTCAATATTATGTAATGATAATACTATTACAAACTTGTGGATATTTATTATAATTAGAAATAAAAAAAAAAAAAATGTAGTTACCGACCAGCCCCATCCAACAAGTATAGATACATCATATTGCGACCGCATACCAGAACGTATCGTGAATATTACATTATAGGTTGGCGCCACTAAGCAGGTATATGACTGGATACGATTTATTGAAATATTAAACAGAAAAAAATGCACCACATCGTAAAAAAACGAAGTTCAAACATTTCGGACGTTTCAAAGACATTTCCGGGAAATGTTTGTACGGTCAAACTTGCCTTTTACCGTACATCATGTGCTTGTATTCCCACGTGGTTTGTCGTGTGAGTTTTCGGTCGGTAGGTTGGTAATGTGTCTACGCGGTTACCTTGGGTAATAGAATTTCCACGAACGCTTGTAATATTCAATAGATTCTGTTTGTGAAAGCCGCACGCCACTCGTAACGTTCAAATAAAGATTAGGTACTATATTTATATTTGTGGCTGTTAACAACGTGATGTGCTCATATATTATAATCGAAGTCGGTCAAGTCGTTTGATTTTTTTTTCCCGACTAGTTTAAGTCGAGTTATCCTAGAAAACGAAAAACTAATAACTGGGGAAGCTTAATTCTAAAATATAAATGAATTTGAACAATTCCACGTCAAGTTAAACATTTCCGGGGAAATAATAACTTGAGTTACGTTAAAAGTTAAAAAATACTATTTTCAAATCACTCTGAGCCACACTCATAAACGTATTTCGTGCGCTAATATTTTATACTCGGCGCTTTCCGTTGCCGCGTTCAAACATGACCCAGTACCGCACAAAATGCATAACCGAATACCCCGCACAAAAATAGTACGATACCGCACAGATTTATCAATACCCAAAGGTTTTGCTGTAATTATGTGTGTGTGTAGTTCATGTAAAAATCCATGTTTTTTGTTTGATTGGCTGGGTCTAAATTTTTTGGTTTGCCTCGAGTATGAAAAATGTTCAGCACACCATTGCCTGGCCCATCCTAAAACGTGTCCGGCCTTAGTACCCGGCCCACCCAAAATATTCAGTGGGGCCCATTATCACATAGCGGTGTTAATTTTGGTATACCTAAATTAATAAATATCACCCGACTCGAATTGCATAACGTAATGCGATGAATTGATTAATGTTTAATGATTACTACCTAGTATAATACCTGTCCCCAGCTCATCATACCAGTTGTGTTATATTATGTGGTGCATATTATCCACTAGATGGCGTAATCATCAAACAAACAAAATCTGTCCACAAGATACAAAGGTTAAATTGGGCCAGGTTATAGTTATATTTATAGCTATAATGTGTTAATTACTAACTTTTTTCATTATAAAAATGTCGAGAGGTTGGGGGGGGGGCATCTAATATTGGCTCATCCAATGAAAATCGTCCGGCCAAGTGCCTGTTGCCGTCTAACCTCGATTGATCTTCCTATCTTAGTGCGGGACGTCCTAGTGGTCTTTTCCCTGTAGGACTATTGCGTAGTATCAGATGTATAAACGAATCTTCTTGACGCCATTTTCACGGCCGTTCTACCCTAATGTTCTTTTTTTTTTGTTTATTTCGCTCACTACGCTAGGGCACCTATAATAGAGAGTTCTTTGATTTCGATTTTTGATTTTTTTTATTTTCATTGTTATTGTTATTAAAAAAACGTGTACCTATATTATCGCATTTCAGTTAAACGTAAAGAGAAGAAAAAACGTTATCGTTTAAACGGCGAAATTCGTTAAAATATTGTCGTCGAGAGTTTTAGGAATTCTCCCCTTTAATCTACTCGCATAATATATATATATATGTAGATAATAGGTATATAATAAGCCACTAATCTTTTGGAATTCTTCGCTATACACACAGACGCTTAATCAACATCAGCCTTTAATTAATTTAAGCGAAGATTAAAGCGCCGATGTTTGTTATAACCGTATATATACGTATACCTGCAATTCCGAATACAAATTGATATTAAACTTTTAATATAATATATTATCTCGAGACTGCATTTAGCGCAGAGTTGAGGGGAGGGGAGTTAGGGGTACCTAACCTATCGGCTATACGATTTATTATATACGCTCGGCTATTTATTCGTTATTCACAGTAGTAAAGTGTACGATTGTGGGGTGGGAGGGGTTGTGCGTTTCCCCGTTTCGTCCAGTCGTTCTTTCGACTGCTTATGTATATATACTCGTATAACAAAACGTTACTCGGACCTTTCTCTCCACAGCCCCTACCGGGATTTTTCGACGGAACGAAAGAAAAAGAGCAGTACGACGATATTAAGCGTCCTCCGACACATAACAAAATCGAACAGTGACTATGATCAAAAAATTAAAATTAACTTTTTTCCACGACATGACTATTTAGTCAAGCGAAAAATAAATAAACAAATAGAATGTTAGTTATTAACTTGGTCGATTTCCTGGGATGAGGGCTACTTTATCCCGTAATTTCTATGCATTTTCGGTTTTGCTAAATGAGTAAAAAAAAAAAAAATACAAATAAAATCAAAAAAATCGACTATTTTGTGACAGAATTCAAAATTCAATAAAAACATTTCTCGTTGTTTTTTTATTGGAGCAATATTTTTAATAAAAATCATAAGCCATACAAATTTAAAATAATGAAATTGTAGCGCCGTAAATCTGTCAGTTTTCATTTACGGTTTTTTTCCCGATTTTTCCTAATTATTGATAAAACTACAAAGAAAATCAAAAACGAATAACTTACTCATAAACAAAATTGAAAATTCAACAAAAATGTTTTTTTGTCGTTTGTATACCGGAGCAATATTTATAGTAGAAACCATAAGCCGTACAAATTAAATATAATAAAATCGTTGTGCCGTAGTTTGAAAAAAATCGTATATTTCGTCTTTTTTTTATTTTTCCCAATGATTATGAAAAATACTTGAGATGTCGAAAATCGACTTTCTCTGTCAATGACTATGTGTTAAAAGGAACAAAATCGATCTCGTGTCATTTTTCGATTGGAGTAATATTTCTAGTGAGAAAACATAAGTTGAACACATGATAATAATTAAAGCGGGACGCTACGTTGCCGTAAATATTAATCAATTTTAATATTTAGGTTTTTCTCATACGTTACGAAAAAACAACTTTGGATAAAAAAAAAAAAAATACTCATACATGATAGTAAAATCAATAGATTCCGAACGCTACGCTCTGAATCTAAAAAAAATTACATGCGTATACATATTATAAAACCCAGACATTTTTCACTCTGATCTGAATGCGAAACACGTATTTGTATTAGCGGTGAGAAAAATCCGGATTTGCCAAATTTCGATAATCCGTATTTTTGAATTTTGAAATCCGAAATCCGGATTTTCGAATAATCCCGATTTACATCACATCACTAATTCGTATATTGTATATAATATGTACTTAGCTGTAAATCATATTATTAGTATTTCAAAATTAAATACGAGTTCCTACACAACTTTATCGGACATTTGTTTTATTTTGTTTGGTTCTAAATGTATTTACGAGGTTGTGCGTTAAACTTCGAATGTAAATTTGTATTCGGGATTGTATACACACGTGGTCAATAAAATGGGTCAGTCCAAAGTGAATTTGTTTTTTTCTTTTTGTTATTATTGTTTATTGAATCGTTTAAGCTTTATTTTCAAACCAGTTTTAATTTTTTTATTTCATAATATTATCATATTCGTAAGTAGATATTTAAATATTAATAATTTATTACGCAAAACTAAAGGCGTATCTGATCTCTGAACTAGTCAATCTCAATCAACATTCATGAATTTTGATCAGCTATCCACCCAACCATTTTAGTCAAGAGGCTATAGCTTCAAAAAAACCTACTTGAGCACGCTATGTGGGCCAGGCACACCCTGGCCCCCTTTCTTATAGCTTGCGGAGCTTGCTGAACCGAATACGGAATGGCGAACCTCGGTAAGGAATAGGGTTAGATGGCGGGAAACATTATGCTTGTCAGTTTGGTCTTGATGGCCTATAACTGAATAAAAAACAACACAAAACCAATAAAGATAATATCATATTGTATCGTATATAATATAATTTTTTTTTAAAACATCAATTATTTACAATAGCGAATTTGTTTACGCTTATAATATTATCGTACGTCTATGACAATATACATTTCGTTATACTTATTATAATTTAATACGAGTAAAAGTTTATGTATATTATATAATATACTGCGTATTTCACGTGACATTTAGAAAAAAAAAAAATGATTCTGGAGAACTTTTTTTTTTTACCGACGATTCCGCGCATACCTTTTCGTTCGCACGATTCCGCGTACGAAATAATATTATAATATAGCTATACCATCGCGATTCCGTGAAAGATTGAAAGGTCGTCAAAATTATATTTTATGTGACGGAACGGACATGACGTCGTCGTATATTATCCGAGCCAGTATGGAATTGTCGAACGTACGTTAGGTAAAGCGGCCAGTGACGGGGGGGGGNGGGGGGGGGGGGTGGAGGTCGGCGTTGCGGCGGTGTTTCCTCAAACGCACGCGAAAACCGTCAATGAGAGATAAAGGACTTTTTTTTTGTTCCGTCGTGACCACTGGTCGGCAGAGAAACGCGAAATTTCATGTGGTTCGTGCCGGAGAAACGGGTTGCGGCCCAGAATATGCGGCCCGACTTATTGTTATTAAAACGTGTTTATAGACTGAAGGTCTTGAAGATATTCTACAATCGTTGTTAAAAGCATAGTATTAAAAGCACACGTAGTTCGTCGCACAACACGCGACAGCTGACGGACACACGGTCAATTAAACCGCCTGTAATAAATGTTAACAAAATTTCGTCTTATCGGATCTTCCAGTTGGATGTGTTGAACGTGATGTGCACGATGCCCGACAATTGTATGAGATACTTTTTTAAGACATTTTTTGATCATTTCTGACGGTCGAGGAGAAAAAGAAAAATATTAATATACGACCAGGCGACGCGTGTTGTACCGGGGTCGACAACCGTCCTACATTGGGCAGGGTTATTTGATGTGTCCTACGTCCAAAACCGCTTTAAATCGTACGCAAGACAGTCCTAAATATCCATACGTAGACCTCGGAGTTCAAGGTATAAGAACAAATATCTTATTTTATTATAAAACGTTTTTATTATTATATATACAGATGTAACAGTGTTCTATTTTTTGATTCAAGCTTGTTTTTTTTTTTCTGATTATTATGTATTTATAGTACATATGTATATACATTAGAATTTCGGATTAATAATAAAAACATAGCTGTACCTGAAAATCAAACATTTTCCGAAATATTTGTCTCATCAGAGCCAGTGATAAGGGGCGGGGGGGGGGGGTTAGAGTCAAGGAAAAACCTTGTGTCGGCACTGTCCCGCATTCTGTATTTAAACAGTAAACGACCCTATATAACGCGTGTAACGATAATTTTTCAGCGGAACCATTTTCTAAACTAATTTTTGGCGGAAATAAAAATCATAAAATCATTTTTTTTATTTTGTATAGATCCGCGGAATCGTGCAGTAGGTAAGAGTAAAAAAAAAGAAAAAAAAAAGAAAAATGCTTATTGCGCGGAATCCTGCGGCCGTTATCCGTTTTCACAAGCGATTTACAATACGTTTTCCGGATACATTTTAAGAGCGGGGCGGGTGAACTTTAACAATAGCACGGGACGAATAAAATAATAAAAAAAAAAAAAAAAAAAAAAAAAAAAACAACAACAATACAATGTCGATACGGCTGTATATTGTTATAAAGTTGCGGCACACACTTATATTGTATTATTATCGGCAATGTCGCGACTCGCTTATTATTGTGAAAAATTCTACCTAATAGTATGATGATAATAATAATAATAAAAAAAAACCAAAAAACTAAAAAAAATTTCGTTATTGTCGTAACCGTAACACAATATTATTATTATTATTATTATTATATCGGTCGGTTGTCCGATCGGTGCAATCGGTACTCACAAAATATTATCATGTCCGTATTATTTGCGGACTTGTCGCGGTGCGAACGTTTCGCACGGGGTCCCTGACAACGTTCCGCGATGTAAAATTTATTTATTATGTAATTTTTGAAATTCATTTTTTAGATTTTTCAAACTGGCACCACAGAGTCCGCGAGGCTTTTCGAAAACCTGCCGAAAAACCTCTACACCGACTTAACAGGACGTTATTGCGGAAAGTAGTTGGCTGACCCTGGCTGAAAAGTTATAACACAAAGTTATTTCCGGTGCGAATTGGTCACTACACTTGGATTTATCATATCAAAAAAAAAAACATATTTTAATCAGTTTGTATTAAAAAAATTTAGTCAAACGCATTTTTCATTTTTAAGGTCTTTTTTCGGGGAGTTAGGAGAATTTTTTTTAACATTTTTTTAAATTAATTACCGTACGCATACTATGGTTTTTATGAAATTTAAAATTCATACATCGGCGACCAAAATAGCCGAAAACGGTTATCGTATATAGAACGCCCGATAAGGGAAAGGTTCGAGCCTGCCGAAAACGGTTCCGCCCAAAAGACGTTCGCTCGAAAGCTCAACCCCGTAGAATAAAAAAGTTATTATTATCGCGAAAACCCCGGACAGCTGTTTTTTGTTTTTTTCCGTTTATCGGGAGCTCGCGACGTACTACCTATCTACCTGTACTTACTTACACTATTACGTACTCGGTCACGAGCAGGGCTCGGGACTTTTTCCACTGAAAATCCACAAAAAAAGCGTTCAAAAATGTCAAATAAATTTCGAAAATGGACTTCAAAAAACAAAAAAATAAATAAATATGGTAGCGTGTTTTTAAAAGTCTCCACCTCTAACGGCTCTAAATTATAATATACAATTTTCGAGCAGTACAAAAACTATCAACACAAGTTTTTAAATAAAATTGTATGTACCCGTTAAAAAAAAAAAAAAAATTATTTTGCGACCCTTTTTTTTTTTAGCGTTACACAATTACGTTTTAATTTCAAACCCCCTCTGAGCTCCCTGTCGTTTTTGCTTTTCACATAATATTTTTTTTCGGGGCTCTTTTAACGTTTTCAAACTCTTTTCTGTGTACTCTAAACGCATCCGGTCCCGAGCGCTCATAACTTACGCGTACTTTCGTAATTCTACGTTAAACCGTTTTCTACATTCTCACATTTTAATACCCTGTGTCGGAAATGTGACGGGAATACGATCGCGAGCGCGCGCCGCAATATTATTAATTACTAAAATATTATTGTCGTTTAGGTACCGCCGCGTTTGCATTATTATTACTGTCGTAACGTACGGGAAATCGGCAAATCGGACGTACCGGTCCGGTTACGCGCCGCCCGGTATCGTCGTCGTCGTCGTCGTGACATCGTTTCCAGCGCGGCCCGCATTCGATTCGGTTCGGACCATCCACTCCTTCCCCTCCGAATGACCGCGGGGGGGAGGAGGAGGAGGAGGAGGAGGAGCCGAGAGCTATTAGCCCGATTGATTTGTTATTGCCGGCTGTCCGGCGCGGCGGTTAAATTCGAGTCGCGTACGCGCGCCGTCGGTGTTAACGCGTAATATCCGACGGCGGAATGCGGATTAAAAAATACACAATAATATCGTATTAATATCGGATCCAATGCGTTCGACCCGGCACCCGTTTTACCGTAGAGCGCTGCGGTTTTCGGGGCGTGCATGGTGGAGGGGGGGGGTGGTGAGAGGGCGAACTGTTCGCTCAGCGGTCGCGTCCTAATAACGTCGCCGTCAAGGGGGCGTCCGTCTTCGAAAACCCGGGACACACACACACACGCTGTATTTTATTCGATAATATTTCCAAATCGCCTGTGCTATTTTTATTTCTCAATAATTACGCCGTCTCAACCACCGATTGCGGGAAACCGCTAGTGGAAAATAATCCTACCGTTATGTAAGGTACACTAATACAGTAATTGTATAATCGTGATCAACAATTTTTCAATTATTCACTACAAACTACAATATTTATTATGCAAATAGACGCGTGCCCATTTGTACCCCGTCCCGCGGTCGTTATGGGTTCGGTCGCGAACGCGGTCCGAACGACAATAAATATCAAAGTCCAGGTGGACGGGCGCCCGGAATCCGCCCGCGGGCATAGACAATATGCAGATAGTAATAATATGCGAGCGCTGTCGATACGATCGGCACCTACAATGGAAACGCATATTATGCGCGCCATTTACAAACCCGTTCGGTACAGCACAAAATATTACAATAACATATCGGAGTCGGGCGACAATAACGGCGCGCGTTCCCGACGTGTTCTCGTCGCGCGAGTACACGCGAGAACATTGGCGTACGGCGGCTTTTCGTTTACAGCGCGATCGAATCGTCCGCGTCGCCGGCCGACCGAAAAGGCAGCGGCGGACTGATTATGGGCGTGACCGCGATCGCGTTACCGCCGCAGTCGTCGACGTCGTCCACGACGATGGTCGGGGCCCGTAGCTCGGCCGCCGTCCTGGACGCCCGGTGGACCGCGGCCGTCGGGTATCCTCCCTGCGCGGTGGTCCGCACCTGCCGGACGGTGTCGTCGTACGCGGTCAGCACGGCCGCCCGTCTGTGCTGCCTCCGCACGGTGCCCGCGCCCTGCGCGCCCTGCAGCGAACCTCTGCCCATGCCCATCACGGCCTCGGCCGTAGTCGCGTAGTACGCGCCCAAACACTCGATACCGCACTGGACCGGTATCTGTATGGACACGTAACCGGTGGCCGGCGGACATTCGGCCCAGACGATCTGTTCGAAGTCGATTTCCCATCCGGCGCGTTTAGCGTCGCTCACCACGTCCGGGTTGCAGCTCTCGGCGGCGACCACGACGACGGTGCCGTCCGCCGCGGTCGCCGCCGCCGGCGCCGTCGTCGCGGTCGCCGACGCTGCCGCGGTCGTCACCACCGTCGCCGCGGTCGTGGCCGTCGTTCGTACCACCGTGGATTGCGCGGGTGCGGTCGGCGGCGGCGGTTCCTTGTCGGCCGTCGTGCTGACCACCCGATAACCGTCGGCCGCGGGCGTCACTGGCCGTCGCTTGCCGCCGACACCGTTCGTCAGGTCGCGGCCGCCGCCCCGTTTTTCCTTTTTACACCGAACGGCCACCAGTACGGCGGCCGCGATCGTTAGGGCCGCCGACCCGACGACCAGGCACGCCACGGCGTACGCCACGGAATGTCCGTCACCGCCCGCAGCCGCGGAGGACGACTGGGACGGCGCTGAGCGGTCGTCCACCGCAGTTCCGGCCGCCAGGGACGGCTGCTTGGGCCGGACGCTGACGGTAAAGTCGGTGCGAGCCATGCCCGCGGGGTTCCGGGCCACGCACGCGTACGTTCCCGCGTCACCGAGACTGGCGTTGTACACGTACAGCTCGGCCGTCGTATTGCCGTCCACGGTGATTTGTTCGGACGCGTTGTGCCGGTACACGGGCACGCCGCCGAACAGCCATTCGACCGTGGCCACCGGCGTGGCGGTCACCAGACACTGAAACGACACGTTAACGCCCTCGACCACTTCCTGCACCGTCCGGGTGACGGGGTACGCTACCGGAGGGCACGCCAGTTCGACTTCGCGGATTCGGCGCACATGCATGTCCGCGTAGGGGACCGGTCCGGAGCACACGGGGTCCTCGGCGACGGGCACGTTGAACGACGTCAGCCATCGGTGCATGTCGATCAACCGACAGTCGCACTGCCAGTCGTTGCGGTGCAGGTCGATACCGTGCAGACGGGTCGGCAGCGTGCTCGGCCCGGGCACGTGCGTCAGGCGGTTGTCGTTGAGCTTGAGCCAGTCCAACGCCGCCAGTTTGTCGAACGCCCCCGCCTCTATGGCGGTCAGGCCGCAGCCGCTCAGGTCGAGCGAGTTGAGCTGCGTGAGGTGATGGAACGCCCGGGCCGGCACTCCGGCGATCGGGTTGCCGCTCAGGCTGAGCTTCATCAGCGACGGACACTCCTCGAACGCGGTCACGGGCACGTCCCGTAGACAGTTGCCCGACAGGTCAAGGTCGACCAGATTGGTGAGCCCGTAGAACGCCCGGTCGTGCACGTAGCACACCTTGCACCGGGCCGCGTGTATGCGCTGCAGGTTGGACAGCCCCGCGTCCATGAACGTGTCCCGAGGCAGCCCGGTGGCCGACAAGTCGTTGTCCGATATGTCCAGTACTTGTGTGGCCGGGTCGATGCCCAGTGCCGCCGTCACGCTCGTTATTTTCTTGTCCACGCACTCGACCGTCTGCTTGCCGTTTTTCCATTTGCACGCGCAGCCCGCCGGACAGCCCGGGGACGACGAGCCCACCGCGGTCGCCGTTGTCGTCGTCGTTATTATCGTCACCGTCATCGTCATCATCATCATCACCGCCGCCGTCCATAGAACCATCACCGCGGTGAGTTGACACTCATAATATCGTGTGTTCAACCGTCGCTGTCATTGTCCTGCAACGTAAATTACAGAGAAACGTTGTAATATTATTGCGAAATGCGAAATGTGTTGTTAACACGCCGATTTACGCGGTTCATTTACGAAGACTAAACGAAAATACACAAATCAAGGCGGTGAAACGATAACGGCGCAAATCGTTTTTGACACGTTATGCGACACTCGTGCCGGGACGCGTCAACATTTTACACGGGGACAAATCACTCGTTTATGCGGAGTTGAAACGAACCGCGTTTGTAAATTTTTTCTGTTTATCAATAGTTAAATATCGGCGGCCCGTTTACCGCCGTGTAAAAATGTACGCGTATGTAAAACGTGCTGTCAATGTTAACGAAGTAACGCAATTATTTCTACCGTCAATACAGCGGAAACAGTGGCGCACACATAGGGGAGGGGTGGGTGGGTTGGAGAGTCCCCCCTCCCCCCTCCCCCCGAAATGTCTTCCTCCAATACGTTTTTTTTTTTTTTTTGAAACCGAGCGTTACATTCGACGACATATTAACATTACGATCTTATACCGCAGAATGAAATTTCATTCGGTTTCATCAAAAATCATTTATTCAGTAATAACGGCGGTATAGTACACTGTACTCATAATAACAACCGATGTATGCTAGGAAAGCGATAACATAAACCCCTCCCGGAAAAAAAAAAAAAAACAAAACTCCTGCGCACGCCACTGCTCACGGTGCCCGGATTCGACCAGATCAAGACCGTTAACAACATCATTAGAAACGGCGAAATGCCGATTTTCAGAAAATAATCGGTACGCCGCGACCTCCACCCGGCGCTGTCCGTAACGGCTGTACGCCGAACATAAATGTCATCTTTGTCGCTTTTAGCCGTATGACGCGACCGAGGTCCGTTTTTAGCGACGGTACCGACCGCGTTAATCCCATTGAAACGCCGCATAAACGGCGCACGTCAAACGGCATTTGCGAAATTGATCGGACGCTACCCGTCTTGTGCCCGCGTTCGTGCATACGTGCCGCACGTATGTGCGCGTATACCGTGCGCGCGGTTCGGCGTGCGCCTAGGGACCGCCGGCGTCGTCACGGAATGGCGCGCCGTAAGTGTTCCGCGTTCATTACGTACGCGGCGCGTAGCTCGCCCGCCGCTCGCCCTTTACGCGGGTTTCCCGTTCGGTTTCCATTCCCGTTTTGTCCCGCGTCGCGCGTTTTTATCACGACCGTCCGCGGCTATTTGACCGCGGGCGATTCGCGCCTCCCCGAAACAAACCCCCCGATACCCCCGTACCGTCCGAACCCAAAAGCGAATTCTGGTTGAACCGCCGATCCCGCCGGTACACGCATTGATGTATTCATAGGATTTCGCCGAGGAGGGTGATATCGAACGTTTGAAATATTTGTTCACCTACACATAGATTGTGTAACGTGTACCCGTAGACTAGCCGAAACAAAGTAAGATTCAATTTCAAATCCATACGTTTTTCTTTTGTAAGTATTTCATAACTCAATCTGCCCGTACATTGACATCGACATATTATAGTGCCTAACCTATCGTTATCAGTTTAGAAATACTATTCTAAGAACAAGGAGAAGAAGAAAGGTTCTTTATAAAATAAAATGATTCGGATAGGTTTCGTTTTTTACCATGGAAATTTATCTACAGTTAAGGCTTTTTTTTTAAATTTATTTATTAGTTTATCAACACTAAAATACTAAACTAACTGACTTAACTATTAATAGTTTAGAATTAATAGTCAATAGTATAGAATTTAATTATTCGTATCTTGATTTTTTTCTTTTTTCGCTACTTAAAATTAAACGTTTTTTAATTCCACAATGTTTCAACAACATTTGTACCGCCGTGAAGTCGGCACCCCGGCTTTCTCGTATCGTCTCTAAATTGGTACCGTATTTTTGAAAATTTATCACTGACTCTGTATGACATCTGTACAGCGCTGTCTTCACGGTGGTCATTTGTATAGGGGGGGGGGGAATAAAAAAAAATAAATTTTAATTATTATAATATTATTTTAATAATCCATACATCTCCGAATGCACTGCGTCGCGAAAACCTGGAGATAAGAATAATACTAAATCAAAAGGTTCGGCTCATTTTTTCCCTCGAATTAAATTCAGGCCGCTTCAGATAACCTATTTAAAATTAACATCAACTGAACGACATCACGTATATTAAATTTAACAATACAGTATGTCCCAGAAGTCCCATCCCACCGTGATTGTCTTCATTGAAAATCAATATATCTGAACGCAGGATTTTCAGCAATAGTCAGTAAGAAAAATCATGATGGTCATAATGGCATACACTCAATAGTTAAAATAACAATCATTTTTGTATGTGTTTTAGTTTTGAGAGTTTTCAAAATATTCATTTTTTTGGTGAAATTTTTTTTAAAAATTTAAATTTAGTGAAAATTAACCAAGTTAAAGCACGTTTTTTTATTTCATGAGTATAATATTAGTTTATTATTATTAATATTATTTCAATAAATGTGACTCGTTTTTCGTTTTTGCTAAAAACTATATTATTCTCATGAAATCAAAAACTTAATCTGCTCGAACTTGGTCAATTTTTGCTCAATTTTAATTTTTTTTAAATTTCTACGAAAAAATGGCTATTTTGAAAAATTTCAAAATTAAAATGCATAGAAGTTTTATTTTTTTTTATTTTTGAAATTTGTTTTAACGATGCCGTTAAATTGGAATCGTATATACTAAGACTGTACTGTGAATAAACAAGCATTTAGATATATTGATTTTCAACGAAGATATAATCAGGGTGGCACGGGACTTCTGGGGCGCACAGTAGGTGACACAAATCAAAATATGAAAACGTCGGGAAATCGAATTTTTGAAGCTTCATAATTCTTCATTATGTACTATAATTTTTCCCGCGTGAAACTGTTACTTTTGAGATAATATGACTTTATCCTGGTTAGGAAAATATTGTGTAACAACGTTAGTCGGGTCGGAATAAAGTCACATCAAAGAACTGTCAACATTTAGACTGTAAACTATTATTTATTTTTTAGCAGAGGTGAAGACGTTTGAATCCGCACTGTCTTTCGTATTAAAGAATACTAAATTATAAATTATGGACACTCTGCGTATTTCGACAGCAACAACTCGATGCGTATTATAAATGTATAATCGGGGCGGTTTATTTTCTTTTTTCAAATTATACTTTAAAGGTATACGCGCACACTTGCAGGCTTGTTGAAAAGTTCTTCGCGGTCTGCGGGGAAAATTGCACTGTATACGCGCGCGATTTCTACAGTTTCTGTGGCGTTTAAACGTTTTTTTTTTCTGGTGCCCGTGTATTATTATTACTAATGCCGCCGGCGAGCGTTATTGTTGTTTACGTGCTTTGCGACCGGTACTGACGTGGAGCGCGACCGCGCGACCGTATGGCTCGAGATTTCACGTAATTATAACGAATTGAAATAGCGACGGGCTGAGAAAAATATTATATCGCAGCAAGACGAAAAAAAAAAATAAGAAAGCAAGTAAACCGAAGCGACACAGTGAACAACGCGAGCAAAATAAAGATAAACGAAAAAAAAAAGCAAAAGATTAAAAGGGAAATAAAAGCAAACGAAAAGTATTTCAAAAAAATTGACAAATTACTATTATAATTTATATACAGGACCATTTGTTGTATTTCGCGTTTTCGGGTTTTGGATGTTGTAACGCCCCGCATTGCTTTGAGATATATGCGTAAGGTTATGGAGGTTTAAATCCATAAACCTCTCTGGACCCCCTTCCTTCATTGATAAATCCAGGCCAGCGGCGGTGCGAAGTATTTTTATTTTGAATCACCGATTTAATTTTTCATTCACCCATCAGTACCAAAAATACCCCAAAATCTACAAAACCGAGTTTCCTTGGGGATCTTTAATAAAATTGATCGAATTTCCGATGTATCAAATTTCAAACTATTCTATTAATGAATTTGTTTTGTAAAAATGTAATCATTTTTGTTATATTTCTAAACACCCAGTCAAACACATGACCCACCCACCCGTTTTGTTTTTTATGAATTACGTGTTTTAAATATATATTTCCTTTGCAACGCCACTGATCCTGGCTACGTCACTAGGCCTGTAAATACTCAAACGGGGCAGGTACTCGTTTTTACTATATATGGCCATATGAGTAAAAAAAACTATAGAAATATTAGTATACTTAACATAGTAGGTATGAATAATGTGTTTTTATCGGAAAAGAATTAGTTTACCTACATTATGCAAATAACTGTACGTACGTGTATATTAGGTGCAATTTGAAACGAATATTTACAATAGTTTCGTGGAAAATTATTATGCAAATCGAATTTAAGTTTATACCTATACGTCTTATATATCCGTATAGTGTCAATCTAAATTATCTCTCGTCGTCTGAATACCGAAGACGCGAAAGCCAAAATAACTCGGCTGCGTTTATTTTTATTCGCACTAACCACCAGGGCTAGGATTTTTGTCAGCTTCGCATTTTATCTAATTGAGCCTTACCTATATTGAAATAGAACCACGGTCTCAAAATATAATAACAAATTATGGATAACAACGGTATCAATTAAAAATATTTCAATTTACGTCATCTTTATACTTTTCCATAATATTTATACACAAACATAGTTTTAGAATATTCTTTTTTACATTTTTCCGTTTTTCATTATTTTCA